TTGCAATATTATACAGCGTGGCCTCAAGTGTCTAACTAAGGAACAAAATGTGCTGTGTTCCATGACAGCTCTAAAATTTCAAGCAAGCACTCCTACACTTTCACAACTAAATTCAAATTGCTGCACTGTTCCAGGAAAGTGACATCCTTTCCCTCTTCTCTTCGTGCCCTAGCTTATCATGCACCACGGACAGGCAACACTGACTTGCTTCAGTCAGATCGAATCCTGATTAGCACAACCAACCTCTAAGCACCTGCACCAAAATGTGTCACCACAAAGCACAATAACATTTTAGCCCAGGCATAACGCTTAGACTCTTACAAACATTTGTATATCCAAATCTGGCCTTCTTCCATAAGCTTTACCATGCTACTTACACCACCAGCTTGTGCCCCCGTTGTGGCAAGTACCCAACTTAGAGCATATGCTCTGGCAATGTTCCTCGTTACTGGGCAGCGATCAAGTCAACCCGGCCAAGTGGAGCTCCGTCATCAAAAGCCCCAACAAGAGGGATCGGCTTTGGGCCGTCCAGAGAGCCCATGATGCGGCAGTTAGGCTTAATCTGCCTGTCCTGACGTGGGAGAAGCTCACTACACTAACCACGTTTCTCGGGACTAGCAATAAAGTTTTCCCATCCATCTATTAATTTCTCTTTAATAATGATCGCACCCAGAACTAGGTGCTTAACAGCCACAATGGTTTTCTGGTGCCTGCATGCAAAAGCATGGCCTCAGAGGTCTGCATTTGCAATTCAAAGAGGGTGCCTATAAAAAAGTTTGAAATTTGCATCTGTAACCCAGAGCTGCTGCTATGGCACAGGCTCATCAAAAGATGTGTGTCCATGTCATTTTTTCAGTGGTCTGATCGCATTGCCTTTGTGTTTCTTGTGTTTGTGAATCATCAATGCAATGTGCCACACTATTAACAAGAGCCAGAAGATCTCTGAGGAAGTTCACAGGTACTCCATAATAAGAGAGAGAGATAAATAGAGAGGAAAGGCAGGGAGGTTAACACAGGTACTCCATTATTATTATTATTATTATTATTATTATCATCATTATTATGTCCTAGTGGGAATACATTGACACTACCATATTGAAGTTTGATGCCAATCAAAAAAAGCCCCCTCCCCCTTCCAGACAATAATTGTGAGTTACCAAGATGGTGGTGGTGGGAGGGGCGCACTTGCTTGGAATTTTACAGAAGGCAATGATTAGTAGTAGTCCACTCCCTGCATGACTAGCTGTTGCTAGGGCCTTATATTGATGAATTTAAATATCTGTAGATGGCAGCAGGGTGCAGCCATGCATTTACACCACATGGTATGGGAATGCCCACACAATCCACCTCTATGACCCAAAGCACAGCACAACACTGTAGGATGGGAGGTAGCTCTGTCCAGCTCGGATCCGAAGACCCAAGAGGCCCTCGTGAGGCGAGTGAGGACAGCGGCCCGTGCCAATGGGATCCCGGACTAAGGAACTCACTCACCGACACTCCTTCTTCAGTCGCAAATAAATGTTTTATTCTCTCTCTGCCCCACTCTTTAGTTCATCACTGTTTCTTTATTATTTCAGGATGTATGTGGCATTAATCTCAAGCAACAAGCCACTGACACAAAACGCAGCAGGGAAGCACAAAAATTACGGCGTCGGCATGTCTGATTTGCTGACAAAACCGTGACAAGCTATTCGCATGACTTGCATGAGTGCGCGTGCATGCATGCATGCACGCACGCACGCGCGTGCACACACACACACACACACACACACACACACACACACACACACACACACACACACAATTGCAGACTGAAATTTCAGACTTGATACGCTGCAAGAATGTCTGCATAGCATGGCAGTTTAAAACATAGGCTTTAAAGGTAAAAAAAAAACTTTAATGCTTGATTTACTTAATTTTCCCCTACAATTAGTGCCTGCTCCACTCACATGCCGTGCACATGGACACTATAGAGAAAAGCATTTACTGTCAAGTGTGTCATAACATGCCTTCCAAGGATTCTATGCAATCTTGCCTTTTTCATTCTTAAGCTTAATTTCTAAAGCGAAAATCTAGAAGTAGTATAATCATACGGCATTCTAATAGCTATTAAACTACATTGCTAAAAAACTACAAATGGGTGACACCTTAATTGGCAGAAACTTTGTTCCTGGCCCCCCATATCTACATTGTGCACCGTATCTGAAAACTGAGCAATACCTTATTGAATGCAAAATTTTAGTGACCATTTTACAATAATTAATCAGAGACTGTAACAGTGCCAAGAAGTCCCTATAATTGGGTCTGCCCAACAGTAAATTGATTCATAAGATTATCAAATTTTGATGCGCCATCCAACGCTGTACTCTGAAATTATGGAAGATTTTTTTTTCCATTACCATAGGAATCGAAGGCAGATTTCGATTGAGGGAATCGTTTCTACCTTCCCCTTCCCCTCCCATTTTATAGTCAAGAAACTTTCGACATCCAAAGCATTCAATGGCACTCTATGTACTAGCATGGCATTTATGGAGTACAGAAAGTGCACTGCTATAAATAAACCCCCGTCTCTTTGTAGTAGTTATCTTGTGCTGCAACTGTCAACATGTAGTAGTTGTGATAGCTGGTTTCTAGGGACCAGCACTATAATTGCAAATGTGATGCAGATGCACAATGTATCTTTTATCCAAGCTTAGTTTGAGAAGTCAGTTGGTATCCAGCAAGAGCTGGCTTACTGAAGGTGAATTATTCATCAAAGCAAGACGCATGCAATAATTAGAAAGAGGATAATTGAGAACACAGCAACAACACCATGAACATCAAGCCACACCAATTTGTTGTGGACATGGACAATTCCACAGCGTGCCACTATCAAAGAGATGCCTTCCATTCATTATTTGCAGCCTTTCCCACAAAGATGGATTATTCAGCTGTTCTGTAATGCCAAATAAAGAAGACCAGCCTTTTGCACATCAGTACAGCTTATTTTGCTGAAAGAGGACAGCAGAAAAAGTATGTGTTCACTTATGAGTACTATGAAGCTGTGATGTCCGTGGATGTGTGCGCATGTACATACACGCATGTCCGCACACAGTAGGCACTCATTAAACCGAACCTAAAGAGACCAGGAAAATATGTTCAATTTAATACCCGTCACACAAGCACCCGTGAAGTCCATGCAACGCCCTCCTTATGTCAACAGAGGTGCATTCCATGTCACGCAGTTTTCCTTACCCCAAGGAAGTTAAATAGAACGTTTTGCAAAGAGAGTTCAAAAATCTCCATTTGCGGTGGAATGGTGTAGTCTCATCGCCAGTGATCCGTAGTTACAGAAAATGTTGCAAACACAAAACAGGCACAGTCAACACAATAAATATTGTCCTATTGAAAGTTCTTTCATTGCATGATCTAGTCATAATGTGTGTTTAATGAGATAAAAAAAAGTAGTCATATAAGTGGACATACTCCACACACCATGCTTCGTAGAAAACAGTTGCGCTGCCAGTTGGAACAATATTAGTAAGAAATAACAGACAATGATGTCAAAAAAGTACCGGGGATGTTAGTAGTAATTGTAATGCAAATGCAAAGAAAAAAAATGATGAAAAGATGACTAGCCACTGGCAGAAACCAAACCTGTGACCTTCGAATAACATGTCCCATGATCTACTAAATGAGCTACAGCCCCATCCACTTTATGAGGTATATACATATGTCTATCGAAACCTGGGAGTGTTAGTGCTGCCAGCAGCTATGACGGCGAGCGTGGAACACTCTTTTTCCTCTTGTTGGCAACACGTAGCATGTGATGTTAATATGAGCTGGCAGCTGGCCAATAATCTCTTGCATACTACCTGAAAACATCAAGTCTGCCAGAATGAAACCCTCACCCTTAATGAAGGAAACTGTGAAGTTAAGGGCTCGTTTTCATTGTTAGACACAATATTAATGAGAACTGACAGACAATCATGCCAGAGAATGTATAGGAGACGTTATTGGAAGTAGCGTAATTGTAATATTAATGTGAAGAAATAAAAGTGGATGAAAAGAGATAACTTGCCACCTCTTTTTTTTTTTTCATTTGGAAGAAATGTATCTACGTCCACGTGCACTATTGTGTTTACGTCTGTGCATCTTGTTCCCTTCTCATTGTAGTGCTCTTATTCTACTTCAACATACAAAAAGTGATAGCAGTGACTGCCGGGGGCATTCTTCTTTCTTCGTTGACACCGGCAGTCGTGCTGGTAGTATATGCGAACTATTGTGAGACATATCTGTGGCAAGAGCTTCGCAAACTAAATGTGAGATCTGTGCTCATCTAGTATTGAAAAATACATCATGATCTGGATGGTAGCACAACGTCAAAAAGCTCAGCAACAACTTGCAGTGTGTTTGAGAATCAGTGCAAGTAGAGAAAATGCATACCAGAACAAATATACACTGTCGCCAGCACTCCTGTCAACTCGGCTTCGAACATGCTTGCAGGCACATGGTTCTGTGATAAAAGCCAAAATCTTTTTTCTTGTTTCGAAGTGATTAGAGTCACACTTGCGATTAAGTGTTTTCTGCGGTATTCGACACAGAATTCTGCATGCAGACGTAGGTGCAACCATTTGGAGCAGTAGCATTTAACAGACCCCTTACGGCTTCTGTACAAAGCTCGTAAATTTGTGGAGCAGCATGGGCACAACTCCGTCTCCATCGAGCTCCCTCATGGATTTTTACATTCATTGAGTTTAATGGTGGCCGTGTGACAGAGATATAATAAGAGCTCCACTTACTCAGAGATGAACAAGGGTGCAGAATACAAGTATGAAACTACAGTATAACCTCGTTACAACAGACCTTCATAGTGGAGAGGATTTTAGTCTGTTGAAAAGAAAGTATGTTAAATTCATGTACTGTTACAACAGACTTTTATGTAAACGCATAAAAAGTCTGTTATAACAAGAGGGAATTGCAAGTCATAAAACACAACACGGTTGACAAACAGATTTATTTTAGATCTTTTGAAAAAAGCTTGTCAGCTTTGATTCGACTGTATGCCGGACCGCTTTAGACACTATACGCGCCTCCATTGTCACAAGTGTGTTCACACCATCTGCACCTGGGGCCTGTTGCGCGAAATAGTTTTTAAGCCCTTTAATATAGTCAAGGGCCTGAGAAGTTGACACTTTCTCGGTTACAGTCTCTGAGGTACAGTCTTCATTTTCGTCTTCATCCTGCTGATCTGCATTTGGCACACTGCGAATTTGGACAACAATTTCTTCATCTGTCAACTGCTCTGAGCTGACAAGGTCATCATCCACAGTTACATAATCGGAGAACTGCTGGCTCCCAGAGGCATCCTTGACAGCCGACCAGACACTGGGATCTGGTTGGCCTTCTAGTGGCAAGGGGTCTGTGCAGTCACTGTCACCAATGAAAAAACCAACTTTTCTAAAGCAATTTTGTATTATCGCTGGCTAAATCTGTGCCCACACTGTTGAAAGTACCTGCACAGCAAATCTGAGGTCTATGACAGAGTCTCGTTTTTGCTGCATGTCAAAAACTTAACACTCAGCGAGGCGTGAGCGATACCAGAGTCCTTTAATACTGTTCTGGTCACGAAACTTCTCCGTCGCTCTATGGGAGAGCTTGATATGCTGCCAAGAGCGACCGCTACGCGGTGCAAGCTAAGATAGGGGGGCCATCGCTCCGTTGCACCTGGCCATTTCGCGGCGGAACGCATTGGCAGCGGTGGTCGCTCGAAGGCGTTGTGTAAAGGCAGCTCACGGTATTCTTTCAAACAGTTTCTGCATCAGCGTCACGAGAACTTCAAGGGCCAGTGCTCCGCATTCAAGGTCGACGGCATGAAAATTCGAAGGAGCAATGCTTAAGACGTGCTGTGTGATGGGCTGCAGCTCCGTATACAGGAGCAACAAAGAAAAGGCGTCGCTTTTCTGTTTCCCCAGTAGTGCCGAACTTCGGGATAAATTGCTTCTCATTGAGAACTTGCTCCTCACTAAATGCACCTGATGGGAAGCTTTCATTCATAGGTACAGACCTAAATACTAAGCGGCGTACTAAATTTCAGGTTCATTGCATACTTTAAATCGTAACCCACTCCCCCAAGCCTAAAAAAAGTATGGTATGGTACCTAGGTAGTGTGGCAAAGGTCGCCGAGCAGCTAGCACTGGCATCGAAAGGAACTTCCAGATTAGGCTGCTGTACTTCCCTTCCCAAAGAAATCGTGGGTTGTCTACCGGTAATTAATGCTGCTCTAAGCAGTAAACATAAGGAAACGTCAAGAGGAGGGGTGTCTCGACTAAATTGAGTGTAAAAAAGGGATCAATCAGACGTTAGGCAAGTTAAACTCGTGCCTATTCAAGAAGCACACTTAATACCGAAGCGAGCGGTCGCAAAAGCGCTGAGCTGCTATAATCGCAACATTGAAAGTACCCGCGTCAAGAAAGCGATCGGCGCTCACAAACGTGTGTCCCGAACAGCTGCGCATTTGGGTGCAGACTCAATTGAAAGGTCTAGAATAAAACATCCAGCTCGACCATTCCCTTCATTCGATTCCTTGGGTAGCAGCGCAAGAGAGACGAGCCGGATATAAACCAATGCGATTGCCCCCGTCTTACCTAGTCGTGTTTCATTCCGTTCACCTTCCTCCCCGTATTTGCGGCACTGCCAGAATAGAAAGCTTTACTACAGCATAAACAGAATCGCCCTTTGGCCAGGCGCGAACACGTTGTCGAGCAGATCCAGCAGTAGCTGCTCGCATCGGGAGCATAAAGCATGAGCATCGTCTTTAAACACTGGGGAGCAACGACGTACCGCTTCGAGGCATCGTAAGTACGCATATAATTGGGCTATGAGGTAATTATTAACACAATGCGTTATCGCACGGTGCTAACAAACTTTAAACATGCTGCTATTTATAAAGTTGGTCCGCACTCCCAAGCAAACTACGCGTGCATTCTTAAGTAAACAGCTTTCATTCATCCTCGACACTGTATCACGTTTATACTGATCGAATGGCATAGCTGCGTTCAGTGGTGTTTAATAAAAAGTAACAGGAAGAACAGCACGCACATAATCACATCGAAACGTCGGCAATTGTGCGCATATAATACCAGCACTGGCGGCGGCTTGTGGCTCCCTTACGACTGGTGGCACCACTAGCGGGAGATTTCGTCCCTGTATCAACCTTTGGGCGAAGTTTCGTGACCAGAAAGCATTGAAGGACTCTGGCGATACCTTGACTTCACTGAGTGCACAATGCCTTCATCAATAGGCTGCGCCTTTGACATTGTGTTAGGTGGGAAGTATTCAACCTTAGTTGCATGTAGCTGAGGAAGGTGCATGTGGCTCGAGCAAATGTCGAAGAAAAGTAACACATTCCTGTGTTGTTGGTGCATCTTGCTGTCAAAGTCGAGCAACCATTGGTTGAAAATGTCCTTGGTCATCCAGGCACTTTTGTTCGAATCCCAGTCCACGGGAACATGCATGTTGTGCATGCACCGCAATCTTTTCGACTTGCCTAAAACCAAGAGGTTGGTCTTTTCGCTCCCGTCCATATTGCAGCAAAAGAGAATGCTAATGCGCTCCTTGGACTTCTTGCCACCATGGCACATGTCTTCGGCAAAACAAAAAGTCTTTCCTAGCTTCAACTTATAAAAAAAAATGCTCTTATCGGCATTGAACACATCCCGCTGTGCATAGCCTTCAAGGCGAGCGGGAAGAACATCAGTTTTCCAGTCGGCAACAACAGTGTCGTCGACACTGGCCGACTCTCCGGATAGACACTTAAAAGCGATTCCGTCCGTGCCTCGATTTAAAATGATTGAGCCAACCTTCACTGCATTGAAACTGTTCTTGATTAAAAACAAAAGCAAGTTGCTCCGTGCGTTTTCGTAGCAGCAGTCCGTTCACCGGGATATTTCGCGAACGGGCGTCACGAAGCCACATCAGCAGGGCCTCTTCGACGTCAGGATATGAAGCTTCACGGAGCCGGAACCTCTTGGGTTGTAAGTGACCTGATACTTTCTTCAACATGATCGTCGCTTTGGCATTGACAATGATGTTGACCGTCTGCTTCGACAAGTCTGCTTCGACAAGCCGTACGCCACGGCGACATCCACCTGCTTTTTTCCCTCCTCAAGTTGCTCAATGATATCAAGCTTGTTTTTCAGGGACATCTGCTCACGCTCCATAGCTTTCAGTGGCTTACGATGCGCGACATTGGCTGATGTGCTCGGCTCCATAGGCTCCATCACACCGTGATCACATCCGCAATGAACCAATGCACACGATACACGAGGAGAGGACTAAAAAAACGTCGAAACAGCCCCAGCCAAACAAAGCACCCACTGTCAGCATCATGCCGACCGTAACTTCTATTTTGGGAGGGGTCGCTACCAAGTGAGCACTTTCTATTATTTTTTTTACTTTGGCAAAAGTATGCAATTGCTAAGGAAGTATCGCTTTAATGTTTGTTTGTTTTTGAGTCGATAAGCAGATGCTTTTTTGCTTTGATAACACTGTTATCATTAAAAATTATGGATTGATTTTCGTACAATGCATTAGCCATTAGTCATAGTAAGCCTCGATAGCCAGATCGATCCAAGCCAAGCCCGGCCGTCTCAAAGTGGCCGCCACCTGTGTTAACACCACAGGCACATTGCTCCCGTCTTGGAAGTATGCCAAGCGATGCGAAAAGTCTGCTGTAAAGGAGTGCTCACTACTTTTCTGGCCTCTTATTTCGGTCAATTATATACGAATGTCTGTTGTATCCGGATACATTGTAAACGAATCTCGATCAATGGTACAGATAGGAAGATCAACATAATGCCACAAATTGGTATGTAGTATCCAAATGCCAAATGTCTGTTGTAAGCAGATCCGTTGTAACCAGGTTATACTTTAATCTTGTCAGAAGCACTTGTTCTATTTAAGCAGCACAGGTCGATTTAAGAGATTGTCATTTGCCCAAAGTTATATATATATATATATATATATATATATATATATATATCAGCTTTCAGGAGGATTAATATTCATCACAATATGCGTTAAAGCAGAGCACAGAATTCTTAACACATGTTGCCAGCATCCCACCACAGAGCAAAGGTGAGAGAAAAAAACAGAAACATATAGAAAGTGATCCACACACTCAAATTAGGAAGTTTTCAAAGTTTGACAACCATAGCAACCAGCTTTTATGTATTAAAGAGCTGTAATACATTGTTCCTAGTTCAACATCCTACATAACCCAACTTCTATGCATTGAGGCATGTTGCTTTAGCATTGTGACGCCCAGTACACAAACAAGGTGTCAGAGATAAGATACATCTCATCTATACCAGCTGCCTGTTTTGTTCTGGAGTTTAGTAGAAATGGTGGAATGTACTCGGGTTGGATGTGTTCAGTCATTTGATGAACATTCTGCAATGTTCAACGTTAATAATAATAATTAAAAAATGCCGGGATTTTTTGTGACAAAACCCTGATATGATTATGAGCCACGCCACCATGGAGGACTCTGAATTGACTTCGACCACCTGGGTTTTTTTTGGTGTACACCTCAATCTAAGCACGTTGGTGTTCTTGCATTTCGCCTGCAGTAAAATGTGGCTGCCAAGGCTAGGTATCACACCTGTGTTTTTGAGCTTAGCAGCATGACACCTTACCTGCTAAGCTACCATTGCAGATGATCTTAAAGGAGGAGAAAGGACAGGGATCTTAAATACTGCTCTTTCACTAAACAGTCTTCAGAGCAGAAGTTAAACAAGTGAAACAGCTTAATTTAAGAAAGCTTGAAAGCAGCAGTGGTTCATGAAGTAGACTGTGCAAAGCCAACAATGTCTCCTAAAGTGAGGGCTGAAGAAAGGTTGGCTGTTTGTTCACCAGAACATAGAGCTGAGGCGTTATTTAGTGACTGTGCCTCTGAAGAACTATGATCAGATAAGTGGGCCTTGTAATTGTCTTCACGCACGGTCCGGAATGAACACAGAGGGCATGCAAAGAGCAAGCTGTCACTTTGACCTGGATGCTTGCGATGCAGGTGGCTCTTGAATGTACTGGACTGGAAGTAAAGAGAAAAAAGAAAATGTCCATTCATTTGCTCAACACATAAGTGACAATTATACACTGAGACAACGCTGTAAATCACAATGTTCTGCCCTGCTTTGTCATGATGTATTGAAGAAATAATGGTAGTATAACAAAATGCCTAAATTACAATGCGATTATGTTGTAGTGAGGGTACACCAATTAATTTTGACAAGATCCTCCAAAGTGCACTAAAGAGATTGCACAAAAGGGTGCTTGCAATCTGTCCACTGAAATGCAGCTGTGGCAAGCATGATTGACCTTACATTATGCTCAGCAGCCACAAGTTATAGTAACTGAATTTGACTAGCATAGCAGGTATGCTGGATAAAGATAGACTGTAATAAGCAACCATTCATTCTACAGTCATGACCTACAGTTACAATTTTGAAACTATTTCATGCAAAACAGCAGAGAAACACACCGCATAGATGAACCATCAGTGTCTTTCACGCAGTGTGTGTAACATGAACCCACAAAACTGATCTCAAAGACAATATGACACAAACAATCACCAACAAGTGCTGGCAAGTTTCCTCATTGAAAAATACATGCACAGTTAAGACTCAACATAACTAGGCTGGTAAAGTCAATCTTTTACATTTTTATATAGAGAGTATTTTGTATTGAAATTTCACTGTTTATGAAAAGTAAAGTGATCGGCACAACTGCATGCTCCGATTAATCTGTGATTAACACACCTTCTAGTATTTTGTGAAATGAACCAGCCTGAGTGGTGAGACGATTTCTAGAGAACAGCTCACATTCCTGAATAAGATGTATCTGTCAAAATACTTGAATAAAATAAAGAAAATAGAAAAAAATTTAAAGGCCATGACAAGCAGCAATGAAACTTCTGGACAGGGCCATGGCTTTTGGCCATTACCTGTATAGCTTCTTGTATGCTAACAGACATTAAAAAAAGAAGTCACTAAAGGTTGGATAACAACCCGTAACTCTACTTATAAGTAAGATTTGACAAATACTGCGGCAGGAGGTTGTTGAAACAACATAGTCAACTAGTAAGGCTATTTTATGCTTACTGAAAAAGGTGTTTCAAGGCCTCTTTAATATCATTTTTCCACAATGAAAAAAAAAACAGTAAAAAAATTAAACAAACGGCCAAGTTCAGCAACCCACCTGGATACAGGCGTAAGGGCAGTGCGGGCACTTGTAGGGCTTGGTACCAGAGTGTCGCATCTTATGCCTGCGGAGCGAGTTGTGGTCACCTGTGCGGTATTCACACAGGTTGCAAGCAAAGGGCTTCTCTCCTGTGTGCTGGCGGAGGTGCATCTTGAGTGAGCTCTGTGATGATGCCCGGTGGCCACAATAAGAACAGAGGAAAGGGCGCAGTTTTCGATGAACAGAGTCACGATGCAGCTGAAGAAGGCGTCGCACACGAAAGCATCTCCCACACTCAGAGCATGCCTCCGCTGGCAACGAGCTGGTGCTACCGTTTCCCTGACCTGCTGCCACAGCCGACCACTGGCCTGAAGCCTGCCTGTGAATGGCCTGCAATAACAAAGAGCATCACCACCATCATTTTCAGCCCATATTATTATCACTGCTGGACATCACTCATCCCTATGATTTCCAATTTACCCTGTGTGTTTACAACATATACCCCCCTCCACCTTGGCCTGATGAAATGCAGAGCCCAGAATGCAAAATGCGTAACATGAGCAGCCCCGCACTGGAAGATGTATGCCATAGAGATTAACAACACAGGATGTCTAAAAAGAAGTTCACATTGGCATGCCAGCACTACAGGAATGCTGATGGTTGATGATTTCATCACCATTGTACAGGCCTGTTTCAGCCTGCCGATTTCTGTGGACGACTGAAGAGCCATACTGAATGAGGACACTTGAACAGCAAAGGCCTTAAATGCTTACTGATCATTCTTCATGTCCCAGATAACCTGAAATTTATAAATAGCAATATGGCAGCACTCTAGAAATACAGACTCTTCAGCATATCATCTACATTGTGAAGGAACGTAAAATTTATACTTGCTTTAACAGATTCACAGCTGCAAGCCTTTTGAAGATATTTTAAAGCATGCCAGCTTTCCTCGAATGAAAAAGCTCTTTTCTTCAACCAGTATAGATTCTGAAGCGACTGGTGAACACAATTGACTGAAGTGATACATGACCATGTGCCATAACCATTCCCAAACCATATCCAAACAGCTATGCTCTTACTAAACGTATCATAGGTGTTTGATAGTGTATACCACACCAGCTGTAGTGGTGTACGCCACTTCAGTCGTAATAGCTAGAAGACTATGCCATGATAGATAAGGCAAATCACATTCCATGTCAGAGCTATACACATGGTAAAGTTGTAAGTTGAAAAAAAAATTAACAAGAAGTGATACCAAGGGGCTCAAAATGTCTTAACAAATTTTTCATATCATGGAAAAGAAAACAACCATAGCAAGAATACTTTGACATCAATGTGCTTTAACCAGCAGTGGGCAGAGAAAAATACAGTCTAGAAATGGCCACATTAATGTAGTCTTTTATATATTCTAAATATGACACCGTGTAAGAAGAAAAGAGGTGACTGCACATTTCAAGAAAATATTACCTTGTGGTTTCGAAGCTGCTTCCCTGTTTTAAAACCTTTGCCGCAAACATCGCAAAGAAAAGGCCGCTCCTCCCCATGTGTTCGCTTGTGAAGGTTCTCCAGCTTGCTCAAACTGTATGTGCTGCATCAGAGGCAACAGTTCCTTAAGTCACGCATTGTATGGTGAAAATGCTCAGTACTAATATCTTGAAGACTGAAAACAGGTTCATACTGCAACTAACTGTTTCATAGAAAAAAAGGTGTGCAGCATACAAAATAAATTATCATTTATAAAAGACTATGCTGTGGAAGACCAAAAAATAAAAATGAAAAAGAAATATGCATTTTCAGTCTCTTCTGGAATATAAAGTGACTGTCTATTGTTCAGAAAAAATTTTCTGATTGTGAGAAAAATGAGAAGATCGTTTATCATATTAGCGGCAATGAGCACGGTTTTGTCTGAGACAAAAGGAATTATGATTTTAAAGGGACACTGAAACACTTAAAAAAAAACAAGATTATGCTGTCATGATACGTAACTTCATGCAGCAAATCTGAAAATCAAGTTGAAAATTTGCATAAACCCACGAAAATAACTTTATTTCGTCGAAAACAAGCAACATGCGCCGCGGCTGCCATCGCGAGTCTCGCCACCACAATGAGTGGTCAAAACTCCATGACGTCACTGTCAGGAATGTGAGGACAGCTGACTGTGCTCGCTGGCAGTCAATGCTGTGTTCACCTGTTGAAATCGGGTAGTTGCTGTAAGTACGGTGAACTGCGAAAATCGGACAGGGTTCGCTGTACATCCGTGCATGTTTGAGCCGGTCGCCACTTTAGGGGCGACGACTGAAGCTGCAGAGAAAAGTGAGTCCCAACCAGCCACCTTCACCTGGGTCGTAAACATAGACTGGTACCTATTACATGCATACCAGTGCTTAATTTCACTGTAGTAAACTGTTAAATTGTAGGCTTATCAGTGAATATCAAATTCGATATGCAACAGCGACATCAGCATTAGCTTTTAGCCGCGCATTGCCACGGTCTGCGCTAGGCGCGGGCAGCGAGCAGAAACATCAACTGTTCATTGATTTCACAGCTCAGAGTGCAGCGCTGTTAATGCAGTCAGTATTGTACTTCGCAGCGGGCAAGGTGCACGCAATGAGGCAGTATGCTACTGCAAGAAAAAAAAAAAAGGAGCCAGATAAGTGCCACTCTTGCCGCAGTCGTGATATGTGCTCTGGACTGCGCTAAATATTGCGCAAGAATAGTCTGGCTCATATATTGCAGTTCTGTCTTTTATAATACCGTCGCTTTTTAGGGGCGAAGCTCCTTAAGACCCCACTATGTCCGCCGTCTCCCGTCTGTCCGCAACATCATGTAACCTTCAACTTTAAGCAACACAGGGAGTTGGTGGTAACCGTTTTGCATACAACCTTCAACTTATAAGCAACAGAGGGCGCTGTGGTAAATTGTAGATGTGATGACGCTGCTGTCAACGCTATATATATACAACCACGTTCCATACCACACATTCTCTTCTCTTATATGGACGAAGATGAACGCAGGAAAGTGCGACGTGCTGAGTATCAGCGTCGCCGTCGACAGGAAGCTACCGCGGAGACAAAAGAGAAGGAAGCAGATGCAAAGCTGCGACGGCGACAACAAAGTTCTACACCACATACTAGGGCTAAGGAAGCAAAGGCTAAGCGGGAAAAACGCCAAGCTGACGCGCAGTTGAGACAACTTGAAACGGATGCAAGGCGGCAATACCGACAAGAAAATTCTACACCAGAGACGATAACCAATGAAGCTGTGATTATGAAATCAAAACGTAACCCGGCACTCGGAACCTCATATCAGCTATAAAGAAGAATCACCGCTGTATCAAAATCGGTCTCAGCACTCTCTTTTTGAATAAAAAAATGTAGAAGTATCACAACCACAATCAGTCTCAGTACTATCTCAACTTTAATTACAATAATCACTTCGAAAGCTTCGCCCCATAATTATCTTCAAGCAGCTTGAAATGCAGTGATTTTTTTCTCAATTCTGCCCAGTACTACATTGATGATGTGTTAAAATGCAAACGGTGTATTAGCTGCGCTAGAACCACGCAACTGTTGTGTAGAATAGCCGATTTCGAATATGCATACTGATATCTTTGTGCACGTGTTTTCGCTATAGGTGCTCATGCATGCACTGCATGCAAATGGCGAAAGAGGAGGAGTGCTGCTACAGCCTCGAAATTCGGCAGATTTGTGGCCGCCACAGCGCGCTTCATCTCGTAGGTTTGAAGTATTTCTTTCAACTGCTGCGGCCCATTTTGCAGCCATCTTCTGATCCCGAGGAAACTTGTGAAAAGCGACTTCATCATGACCGTAAGTGCTGTGGCAACCATATGCTGCGCAGTAACTCAACATTGCGAGTCCACTAGAACCTTGCACAAACACAACTAGTGAATGTCGGACGACGAAAATCTCTAATCAGAAGAATTATACGGTGCAATGACGAAAAATCTCTACGAACTAACAGAACTGATGCTTCGCCAGGCAGCAGAGCGCAGCAGAAATAAGGCACAACCGCAAAGTAAACAAGCCGAGCTAACTGAGGGACGCAGGTGGCCGGCGCAAAGTTGCCTGCCAGGCGGCGGCTCGACCCTGACAGTGACGTCACCTCCCCACGTGTATCTCTCCCATGCTCCACCCCTGCGCATGCGCGTGCCGGGGGGTGGGGTGGGGGGCGTTCTCTCGGTCAAAATTTGCTCGCTTATAGCGCCGTTGTTTAATCGGACCTCGCGAAAAAAACCTCCGTAGAGATGTTGTAAGAGGTCGCGGATACCAAATTCGCAATAAATTTGTGAAATTAAAACCTCTTCAGTGTCCCTTTGAGTTGATGTTGACAGTTGACGTAGAATTACCACTAGCGTGACCCAACAGCAATGTGGTTCAATCTACTGGAAGGACAAGAAATTCCCGCAGGTAGGCTCATTTTGCTCAAGAACAAAGATATATCACTTAAAATTGTATTTTATGCAATTGAGGTAGCTTTAGATTGCACCAGAGAGTAATTTTTGCTTTTTTTTCTCACACTTTAAAAGATACGTCTGGTGACGCTGCCGGTGCTGTGTTTGCTTGCCTGCATGCCTGCCTGCAAACAGCAAACGCAAGCACTGCGTCCGCTGCCGCTCATAAGAACGTCTGCCAGCTTTAAACGAACACTAAGGTATTTATTTTCTTAATAAACAAAACTTGATGAAGCCTGCAAAAACCACAAGCGGTTTCAGTTTTCGACTTTCATCGGCTATACAACTGCCATTGCCTGCACCGACCAGTGTCGTGGGCATTCATCCCACTGATGGATGGAAACTGAACGTAGATAAAAAAAATTAAAAAAAAAATTCTGTTTTAAAAATTTCTACACACTTTTCAGAGAAACCGCTACAAGGTTGGACACTTCAGGTGGTACGCTTTTTATTGCGACAAAAAACAGAGAATCAGTGAAGGACGGTAGACAGTCCCTTTAACAGAGTTGTGCCTTGAGCTGCCTTCATTTCTACCAGCGGTCCCAACTAAATGTCAAAAATAAGAAAATAATGGAAGGTTTCACACACAGAAAATTCTGGTTAACTTGAAGGAGCCCTGAAGCACAAAATAAGAGTGTCATTTTCATCACTTCTTCTGGAACTATGGAATGCATCGAAATCATTGTGCCAATGGCAATGATAAAAACAAAGCTGCTATAATTTTATTTCGATGAAGAAACACATTGTTTTCAGACTAGAGCGACACACGTCTATTTTCGTAATCAGAAGTGATGTTACATCCCGTTGGAGTGACGACATTGACTGGTAGTTTTGATTGGTTTCATGTGGGAAGTTGCACGTAATATTCATGTGGTCCCAGATGGCTCACACTACTGTGCATTAACAATTATAGAAGCACTCTTTATACTTCCTCAGAAAGAAAAGGATTTTTGTTTTTAAATATGAAAATTTGAAAGAAATGACAAAACAACGCTCAACGGCCACTAGGAGTCCAGTATGTCTTTAAAAGAGGCATGCAGTGATGGCCTTAGACACAAGTAGGAGAGTGAATTGCAAAAGGGAACATGTTTTCTCGTCTCCTGGGGCTTTGAAGTTTGAAGGCTATACCGTGCACTGGTTTCAATAATTCTTTTTGTGTTCATCTCAGTATTCAGCACTACATGCACTTCAGTGCTGCGAAATAAAGATAAAAAATGTTGCAGGGCCCGTTCAGACCCTAACTCAAAAGTTGGCGAGAAACGACCAATAATAACGTCATGTTAATAAAGCCTCCCCCAAAGAAACCTGCCGTATCACGGTCCCATACATTCCAAGAATCAACTGGTGGGGGTGTTGGGATGGAGGGTATCCGGGTGGCGCACAAACCCGCATCAACTACTGGGCAACTCTAGCCATGGCCAAAACACTAGCTGGCAAGAGAAAGATTCCTTGGGCTAGGCTACAAGGTTCCATGCACTAATTGCTACCCCACTTCCATCAGTGAGACAAAAAACTTTCCAGAAACGATACAGCAACACCGAAACGATGCATGTAGCTTCAATGCTGCGCAAAACACTTTTGTAGAACACGGCAAAAAGATAGACCATCTGATTAACTTCGACACCACCTGGGTCATCGAACTGGAAGGCAGCCGCATGAAAGGCAATTCTTACAAGTCTTGGTATATCCAAATGACACCTACAAATATTAACTGCTCAAGTGGGAAACCCTGCCTAGTGCGTATATCTCTGCAACCACTGGTAAAAACAACACAGCAATAAGAATGGCAGGAACAATGATTGTGGAGAAGGAACAAGCACTAAGAAAAGTCCCTAGCTTGGGAGCCGGCCGGACAGTCACCTTCTGAAGAAGAAACTGAACGAGTCTCAAAATGCAGGACCACTTTTTAATTTTGATATCAAAAACTAGAGACTATAAACATGGCTAGACAGATTCTTTTATTCATACAATTTTTACCCAGCCAGACAGGTTTCTGTCAAATACATTTACATTTATATTCAATCTTTATTAAAAGCAGTTTAATTTGTGCACAATATAGACAGTATACTAGATAACAAAAGTTACACTTGAAACTTTTCCTAATCTGGCCAAGTAGGTGGTGAGCAGATGTTCTGCCATAGGAAATTTTTTTAAGTTTTGCAGACTTTGTTTCTGTGTAAGCGAAAGCAATTACATAAGAATCTTAAAATGGTGTCTTCATTATTTATCCTTCACAACTTTTACATTTAAACAATATCGATTAGGCCAACTAAAATTTTAAAAAATAAATGTAGAATTTTTAAACATAAACAGGAGTATTAATTGATATGTAGGGTCTAACGTCCCAAAACCACCATATGATTATGAGAGACGCCGTAGTGGAGGGCTCCGGAAATTTCGACCACCTGGAGTTTTTTAACAAGCACCCAAATCTGAGTACACAGGCCTACAGCATTTTCGCCTCCATCAAAAATGCACAGTGCGGAATAAATCAGGCTACTCGGGAGGAATTTTTTTTTGCTGGCAAGCTTGTCTTGCATTGACTTTTGTGCGTGCGTAAAACTTGATTTGATTGATATGTGGGCTTCAACGTCCTAAAACTACTATACAACTATGAGAGACACCGTAGTGGAGGGCTCCAGAAATTTTGACCACCTGAGGTTCTTTAACGTGCACCCGGGCCTACAGCATTTTCACCTACATCGAAAATGCAGCCGCCGCAGAAGGGATTCGATCCCGCGACCTGCCGGTCAGTAGTCGAATACCTTAGCCACTAGTCCACTACGGCGGGGCAAACATAACGAGTAACAGCAGCATGACAAAGTCAATTAATCAACACATTGACCAAACAGAAGTCATTTGTGAAAAGCCACCAGATATAATTTATTTGTAAGAGGCTGATGTTGGAACAGTCCATATGTTGTTTTCTCAATCCTGAGGATAATAAATTTCGATAAAAACATGCTTGCAAATGTTCACTGACTGGAACTGGAAATGAGGTGGAAATGAGGTCTGCAATACTATACAATTGAAAATGTCCACCTAGCTTAGGCTAAGTTCAAGGAATTACTGATGTATTCCAAGTCACAAGAAGCAGTGTGACAGCTATTAGTAAACAGCATATCCTCTGCAGACATCCTGCACAGGTTCTTGCATTTTTATTACTAACTTCAACAAGAATTTTAAAAAATTATGTATAAATGTCTCATTAAAAATCCAGTGTTTAGAAACGGCTATGATTGTCATGATGCCCTAGATGGACTTTCCAAGGCAAATTTTTAATGCTGCTGGCTTTGAATTCAGAGAACACTACATTCAATAGAGCATGTTGAACACAATAAGGTTCAACATCTTGAATGATAGTCTAATGCTTTCTTAGATAAACTGGAAAGGTGGATTATTTATCTTGATTAGCCATTTGTGTAGCAAATAATCATGAGTTACCCAGAGAAGCACATTGACATTTTCATCCCCACCAAAGTGACAATATCCACGCTTATATTCCCTCAACTTTTCATGCTTATATCATCACGAAAGCAATATGAACACTCTCAGCTGATTTTTGCCGCAACCGCCGCGTCCCGGATATGTGATGTGCTTACATATGTAAAAAAGACAAAGAAAAATAAATCAGTAGAAAAAAATCCCTAAGAAACGAACCGGGGATACGAACCAGTGACCCCTCACTCCACAGCCCGCTGCGCTAGCCAACATAGCCATGTGCCATGCTTGTGCCGATGATATAAGCATGAGATGCTCATATGCACCATTTACCACTCGCAGTAAGCAGATCTCGGAACAGCTTGAGAGTATTTTCTATCACCAACGCTTTTACATTTTCTTTGAAGTTGAAAATTGCCCTTGAGACGCACATGAAAAGGGGGGGGGGCCCTTTTGTAGCACTCATGATGTAGAAGAGAGAAAGAAAAAAGAAAGAACCAGGGGCACACCAGGCATCAGACCCCATCGCGTGGCAGGAGACACTGAAGGGTATTTCCGCGTGCCGCAGTTTAAAATAAAAGGAAAATCACACAGTGTCGGCTTCTGCATTTTGGACTTTTTCAGCACGTTCCACAAATACAAACATGTAACAACTTTGGCAGTTGTTAGTTTGCACTTGTTCTGTGTATACCTATGCGTTCTTTTCAAGCCCTTCTTTGTGCTGCAATGGCGTGCTAAATGTATAAAGCTGCTTGTCATTCTTCATGTGATATTCTAATTTATTTATTGCTATCGCATTCATTGCTTTGCCTTAGGGGCAAAACTTTTTTTTTCTTTTCTTCTTCTCTTTTTCTTTGCAGCAAATCCTGTGGCTTTCTGAAATGGCGACATTATACATGGGAAAACAATAAAATGAAGCCAATACACCACCAACTGACCATGCAAGCAAATGATTTCGCTATAGCACCCATTTTCTATGTATGACGCGCCTTGTCTGAACTTCTTTTGCTGGGTCTTGTGTGACCCTAAGCACATTACAAAATTTGCAAAAATGCTCAATAAAGAAAGCACAGGTATTACCGGAAGTCACACTGGTCACACTGATGAAGCTCCATGTCACACAAATGGTGCCTCCAAAGGTGCCCAGTCATGGTTCGCCATCGAAGACAGACCACTGAGCACTCAGGACAGGCAAAGTCAGGTGCATCAGCTCGATGACACTTGAGGTGATATTCCAAGTTTTCTAGCTCACGAAAGCGAATATTGCAGCCCTTACGTTCACAGCTACAAGAAAAGAAAAAAAAAGAGCGAGGAATTTATGCAAAACTAAAAAACTATAACAAGTTCTAAAAAGCATTCTCAGAAAGAATGCCAAAATGAAAGAAAAGCCCAACGGCAAGCTCTCATAGGAATGTTTTAAACAAATGCCATATGTTTGTTTATACTGGTTATGAAGGCATCAGAATCTAATGACAACAGAAGGACCCGTGAGACTAAAGGAAGAAATAACAATTCTGTGCTAATGTCCCTTGAAAATAAGTAAAAAATGGTGCTCATATACACTATTTGCCATACATACAATGAGACAGGGAGTGGGGCCACAACTAAAATAGCAGAGTAAGGCAGCCCCTCTTTCCCTTGTCACTACAATTTTACCCCGAAGATACCACCACAATTCCCGCCTTTACACTTACTTGTGATTGTTCTGAGATAGATTTCATTTGCCGGCATGCTTCTTAGAGTTTGCAAATTCTAGGCATACTGGAGAATTGAAGGTGAGCAGCCAACAACTGATAAGCAAAACCTGGGGTCACAGAGCCGCAGCTGTGAAAGAGACAGCCGTTGCCAGCAATGGCTGCGCGCTCGATGCACAGAGAAAACGAAACTAGGTGAAGTGAGTCGTTCTATAGCCTATAACTCCCTTATTATAGTGCCAAATTCTTCAGGCAACTTGTTAACATCTTACAAGTGCATAGTTATCTCTCCATCACAAATTTTGGACTGCGAGGTTGTTTACTAGCCCTTCAAAAAAGAACTGCCATGACATTTATTTACTTTGTAGCTTCTGTTGTAAATGAAGGCCTTGCATTTTGAAACCATAATACACATAGTGGCAAGAGTCAGAGTGCACAAACTATTTTCCTACAACACCTTTACCACAAGCTAGTATTGATTCTCTTTTCCAGGAAGTGTAGCAGCAGAGCACATCTTGGTGTTCTTGCACATGCTTCTACCTTGCTTAGTTATCTGCTACAATGGGCTGCACAATAAACCACAGCACAGCAGATGATTAAACCAGAGAGGGTCCTAGAATATAATGTTCTATTTTCAAAAGTGGCACAGCAAAGAGGTGGATGAAGCTCAATCTGATTCTCCAAAACCTTGTTGGGCTAAGCTGCCCTGCTTCCCTAAAGCTAGATGTCCAGACGGTAATTGGGTAAGTCCTGACCTATTATGGGAAAAGCAACAAACTACTACATGTACTTTGTGCACTGGTGCGACTTGACATCTGAACAAAGACCCACCATGGGGGTGGAGGTGCAGTAAAATTAGAACAAAATATGGGAAAGCATGGACTGAGAAAGGAAAAGAGACTATTTGACAAATTTTTTGCAGTGAAGACTATTTGTGGAACTAACACAAGCACAGAATGTATAACTACAAGCGAATAGAAAATCCCATGATGCCAACAGGTCATCACAGATAGAGTAAGATTTCAGAAGTTTGTAGGACTGCCACCTTTACCCATCGGTCTTTGGAGAAGGATTTTTGAAATGTACATACAGCTTACCACAGCTTCCTCCAACCTTTCAGACATGTGCAGCAATATATGGTGTGTACAGACCTCAGTTCCAGTCATGTGTCTCCCCTGTGATATGCATATTATAGGAACATACCAATTCTTGCAAAGGAGACAGTGAGAGTGAAAAAATACAGTGTGAGGTTGTTTTGTCTTGAACTTTTACTGATAACAAGGTAGGTGCAAAGCAATGCTGATACCAGGAGCTTATATGGTTCACAACAGCATCTATTTGCATGATTTGCGTGAAATATTTCAAGAGTTCATGCCAGCTGGCCCACAAAATGGGCCGTGGAGTCCACAAGCAATTAGAATAGTGACATCTGAGAAATGGGCAATATCTGTTTTTTTTTCTAAGGGACAGTGTGTAGAAGCCTTTTTTTGTATTACTAGCACCAACTTATGGGGACATATAACCTGCCTTTGTTTTTCCAAAGCCTTGCCGGTGCTACTGATTGAAAGACACAAATATGGGTGCCAGACTCACGTCTCCCCTCTCAAACCATGTGAACAAAAATATAAAAGATGTACACACACATATATATAGGTATGTAAATAGATGAACTTTCCCATAATTGTTTACTTAGCCGATGTTTCGACGGGAGCCCCATCTTTTTGAAGGCATAACAATATTTATAAATTTTTAATGACGTATAGCATGTTGAGACAGGAGGGAAGGCGACAGAAGGGAAACATGAACAAAGAAAAGAGGGGGGAGCAAAAAAAAGGAAAAAAAAGAAAAGAGAAAAAGAAGAAAAAAAACACAACGGGAGTTAAGAAGGAACGGCATCTCAAGAGATATATGTGGGGTTTAACGTCCCAAAACAACCGTATGATTATGAGAGACGCCTTAGTGGAGGGCTCCGGAAATTTCAACCACTCGGGGTTCCTTAACGTGCACCCAAATCTGAGCACACGGGCCTACAACATTTCCGCCTCCATCAGAAATGCAGCCGCCGCAGCTGGGATTCAATCCCGCGACCTGCGGGTCAGCAGCCGAGTACCTTAGACACAAGACCACTGCGTCGGGGCAGGCATCTCAAGAGAGTAAGGTGAACAAGAACATTGTAGTATTAAAGGAGCCATGCCATCATTGACAACATAACACCCCACGCACCCACCCTTCCCCCAAGTGGACAGTGTGACGACCCACGTTTATCATTGCACCTTCCTGTGCCATTCACAGGAGGCTTGTTCATCACTGAAGTTTAGGTGATTTTTTTGGAGGGGGAGAGGGGGGAATCAAAGGCTCAGAGTGCATGTCATCGGTGCCGGAGGACATGAAAAAGCCAGTAATGTGGCACTGCCATCAATATTCACCATATACATTGGCTCCTTTCAGGGAACCAAAAAAAGTGCATGAAGAAAAAAGATGACTGTACGGCATCCGGGACCACTTATCTGTGCGTGCCGGCTGTGTTTGAAGCTGCGAAACAATTTTGAATTGTCAGATGCATATGCTTAAAGCTTTGTCAGGGGTTAATATTATTGTCGCAATTTGGAGGCCAGGGGCAGAGGACTAATTAGAAAGAGGCGCTTGCATCCTTTAGGGATGATAACGCAGACAGGGTGCATTGGTGTTCATTTATTCCATTTTTTAACGTGTTGAATTTTAAGATAAAGTAAGATTCCTGTTTTTCCCATTCTCTGATTGTTCGAAAACTGTTTTCTAATAGTGTAACCCTGATGTCATCAAAGCTGTGATCTTTAAATGTGCTATGTTTTGAAAGAGAAAGGCCTGGCAGGGAATGTACATGCACCCAATGGTTGTTTAACCTAATTCTAAACGACGTGTCTGTCTGATCCGCGTATTACATGTTACATAGAACCCATTCCAGAAGGTATATCACGTCAGAGTCACAGTCTAGTGCACCACTTATTCTGTGCTTAAAATCCGAGTGGGTGCTTTCTGCCCCTGTTGTTGTCCACATGTGTTTGCATACTTTGCATCTGCTTTTTCTGCAAGGGTGACACTCTGTTTAAGATTTTATGCCCATATTTGAATTTATTAAATGATCCTTTATACTTTTGGGTCACCTGTATACCAGACAAGGAGGAGATGTGAAAATTTTTGATAGTCACACGCTCAGTTCCATTAATTTTACGAAAGAGGAAATAAAATGTTTTCTTAAGACCTTATTTAAGTTCAGTGGATTGCTTGTGAAAGTTAATATCAAATTTTTGCTACGGTGCTAGTCAAAACCTTTTTGCTGGTTTAGAAGAGACTGGCAGTCTAGATTTTGCGCTTTTTTTTTATCATGTCGTCAATGATAGCTGGCGGGTATTCTTAATGAAGAAGTACTTCGCGCATAGCAGCAGCCAGCATCAGCCAACAGCAACCAGCAACTAGCAGCAGCCAACAGCAATTGTCCACAGGTCAATTCGTCGTGGGAGGCACGGCAGAATGAAGCTCCACCTCAAACCAGGTACGCCCTCCGGGTACCCTGCGGTTCTACACACCGCATCTGTGCAAAGTGACATACTGACTGTGCGAATGGGCAAACACTGTCCGCTTCAGATGAATTAGGCCATAGAACAGGTCTAAATGTTCTTAAACTTAGAAAACTTGTTGACAAACGAATACGGCACGCACAGCCTCGAAGAATATGTACTAGCAGGTACAGCTTCTAAGGGGGCTGTGCTTGTTGCTAACACCATCGATGCATAATTTTACCAAAGGGTAAATGAAACAGAGAAACAAAATTCTCGACGACACACACAGGAGCTAACTAATGTCACCCCTGAACACTGTAAAAAGACTCTAAGGACACTGACAGACAAACAGCGATATGCAAGAAATAACTTTCCTTTTTTGGCGAAGGAGGCCAAAGAGCTCGACTTATTTGAGCACAAAATACGGAGCAAATAGAAAAGCTTAAAAAAGAGATTTGCGCGATATAATGTTGCACGACAAGCTATACCGACTGTTGCTTACATGTAAAAATACCAAGCAACCTCACCCCAAAGAGCCAAACATCATCAACCTTTCATAAAGAAGAAATGAATTGAGTGTACTATCATTTGGACTTACATTCTGCCCTAGCAAAGGAAAGTACGACGAATTCAGCTTCTGAGAGACCTAGACGACTTCGCACAAAGTTTTCGATTGGAGGAATATTTCTTCGATAGACCCCAAAAAGATAACCTACTTTATCGTGGGGTAATCAGACGGCAATAGACCCCAGACACAGGCAGAGATATACATTTGGATCTCTTTATAGACGCGGTTCAGAAAGATATCATACATGTGTAGTGGTGCACAAACCAAGCATGAATAGCATATCAAAGAAAGAAAAAGAATCACTGCTCGCGTCGAGCAACCGCGAAGATCTCGTCATTAAACCACCAGACAAAGGAGGCACGATTGTTATTCTAAATAGGCCGGACTACATTGAGGAAGGCACGCGACAACTAAATGACAAGCAATTCTACAAACACTTCGACTCTGACCCTACCACTGAGCACAAAGAGATAATTGTAACAATCCTAAAGGAACTCACACGTGAAGGCGCTATTGATTTAAAGCTTTGAAAGGCACTTCTTGTGGTAAATTCGGTGGCAGATCAATCTTACACGCTGCTGAAGATTTATAAAAAGGGAAACCCTGGCAGACCCATTATATCAGGCAAGAGAATGTTAATTGAACCTATATCTAGTTATATTGACTCTTTAATCATCAAAGACATACCACCCACGCATGAGTCCTTCTTGCTTGACATAAACCATTTCCTTCGGGAAATATCAGAAGTAAAAATTTCAGACAGTGCACTTCTGGTAATATTGGATGTTAGTTCACTCTACACAAATATCCAGCATGATGATGGTGTAAGGGCACTTGATGAATCATATGTCCCCTACAACCCTGATGCATAATTAACCAAAAAAGTAATTGAAACCTTAACGATACTTGTACTCGAATTAAACAGATTCAAATTTAACAATCAGTACTACCTTCAAATAGCGGCACAGCAATGGGTATAAGAATGGCCCCAAACTATGCTAACATATACATGCACCATATAGAGTGAATTTTCTTTCATCCTCTGAAATCAAACTTTCAATCTATAAACAGTACTTAGACGACATATTCATGATTTGGACACATTCGGAAAACGAGCTCGTCAAATTTATACAGCCATTTAACCAAGCTCATCCCAGCATTTACTTTACACACTTCTACTATAACACTGAAATAAGATTCCTTAATGTACTCATTCGAATGGAGGTTGGTGTCCTTATTAACTAGTGTATACAGAAAACCTACGGACAGGCACTAATACCTGCACTTCAAAAGCTGCCACCAGCGACACTACAAGACCAGGATTCCCTATTCCCAAGCACATAAATTCAGACGAATCTGATCCCGCACTTAGGACTTTCACAAAAACAGCAAACGTATGCATAAATTACTCCTTCACCGAGAATACTTGCCAACTATCATTGACGACAAGATCAAAAAAAGCGGAAAATCTAGACTGCCAGACTCTTCTAAACCAGCAAAAAGGTGTTGACCAGCACCATAGCAAAAATTTGCTATTAATTTTCCCGAGCAACCCACTGAACTTAAAGAAGCACTGACATCAAATTTCAAAATCAAAATGTGCTCATCATTCGATCTGCTTGGTATGCATAGGTCTTCTTGGCCAAATTTTAACGGCATCTGTAGCGTGGAAGTCTCTTAATTTGATGTCAAACAGCGTACAAAAGCTAAGGAGAAAAAACTAAAAATAGACTGCCATGCGACATCAACACTAGAGGTACGTGTTCGGTGTGATACATGCCACAAATACCATCCTGAGTGACGATGCCCTAGTTGCGATGACGTGTACGATCCGAGTGTTCTTATCGTGGCGCCGACTGGCGCCAAAGCGCAGAAACGCACTCACTCGTCGCGTCTGATCTTTGTCGCACCGGTTTGAATGATCTCATGAAATTATCAAGCCAAAAATCACCTTTAAAAGAACGGAGAAAGAAAAGGGCATGATTAAACGCGTGCTTGTCAGTCAGCATGTCAAAGATTGATTGATATGTGGGGTTTAACGTCCCAAAACCACTATATGATTATGAGAGACGCCATGTCGAAGAATCGTTAGTTGCAGGTGAGTTGCAGACGTCTAGTTCGAAGCATGGAAAAAGTGCAATGAGGGTGTCTTTTCATATCATGTATGTGTTACACATCAACACGACCACAAGCTATCAAAAGTGGAACAGCGTATAGTCAGATATTATCGCTAACAAGTAACACGCAGGTATCATTGAATTTTAGTTCATCTGTAGACTTTGTGTCCATGTAAAAGTGGTAATACCGTGTTACCTGCGAGAGGCTGGATAGGTGGGGCCATCTGGAGGCGCAAAAAAGAGCCTGGCAAGCAGGAAACGTATTCTATTTCTCCGATGATGCTCATTCGCGATAGTTATATTGCATTAACCCTCTGCGTATACCTGAATTCTTTGCACGCCAAAACACACCAATATAGCTGACTGAAACACACGAGCGAACATGGCTGAAGCGTGAATCTTTGGGCACCTCTGCAGTGCTGCTTGGAACGGCTTCCGTTCCGGGATCACTGTTCTGCAAAAGGTCGATCGAAGCAAAAATAATTTGCGACATCGCGAATTGCGGGGATTACAAGCTCCAGACTATGTACTGAACCCGAGTCGACACTTTGTACGGCGATGACAGCAATGCAGGTGACAAGGCATGACTGAATGTCTGCGCGTAGCAGACGAAATGTTTGCAGAGCAGCTGAGACTGACGTCACTCTTTTCTATGGAGAAGTGGTTGGCTGTGGCGTGATCTGTAGGTGACTGCAAGGTAGCGCCACTGCTGGTGCTCCCAGCGCTAAAAATGGCGGGATTGCCAGCCATTTTGAATAGTGCTAGATACCAGTGCTATAAATCAGTAATGGTGATAGTTATTCATCCCTCAGTTGTGTTTTAGGTCGCAAATCGCTGCTACGGGGTCTATAGCTACTCACTGACGCAAAAGTCTTAGCATGAGTAAATTTGATGTCAGTGCTCCTTTAAACAAGGTCTTAAGAAAACACTTTATTTCCTCTTTCCTAAAATTACTGGAACTGAGCATGTGACTATCCGAAATTTTCACATCTCCTCCTTGTCTGGTATACAGGCGACCCAAAAGTATAAAGGATCATTTAATAAATTCAAAGATGGGCATAAAACATCAAACAGAGTGTCACCCTAACAGAAAAAGCAGATGCAAAGTATGCAAACACATGCAGACAACAACAGTGACCGAAAGCACCCACTCGGATTTTAAGCACAGGATAAGTGGTGCACTAAACTGTGACTCTAATATCATATACCTTCTGGAATGGGTTCGATGTAACATGCAATACGCGGATCAGATAGACACGTCATTTAGAATTAGGTTAAACAACTATCGGGTGCATGTACGTTCCCTGCCAGGCCTTCCACTTTCAAAACATAGTGCATTGAATGATCACAGCTTCGATGACATCAGGGTTACACTATTATAAAACAATTTTCGAACAATCAGAGAATGGGAACAACAGAAATCTTCCTTTATCTACGAATTCAACACGATAAAAAATTAAATAAATGAACACCAAGGCACCCTGTCAGCATTACAACTACTAAAACACGCAAACCCCTCGCTCCAAGAGTGCTTACCAGCGCAAACGACAGGGCAGGAGGGGACAGGAGAAGAGACGAGACAGAGCACCGATCGGCACTCTGACTCGTCTGTTCTCCTGTCCCCTCCTGCCCTGTCGTTTGCGCTGGTAAGCACTCTTTATCATGTTATACCAACACGCCCAATCCTACTGTCCCTCCCTCTAATCAGTCCTCTGCCCAGTGATCTCCAACTGCGAGAATAATATTATCCCCTAACACAGCTGTAAGCTTGTGCATCTGAAAATATAGAATTGGTTTGAAATGCCTACAGCTATTGTTGTTGAAATACCTACAGCTAGTGATGTTGTTAAGTGCCCACTACAACATAATTATTTATTTTGCGAATCAGCGGGGCCCACTGCTGTTCCATAAGACAATACGCAAACTTACACAAACGTTCACTTTGTTGATGCTTTTGCTGTTGCTCATGATCAAATATACCTAAGCACTTTATAATGAGCCAGCCTTTAAAACATCCACTAGTTGTGCAATTCACATGTTTTGACACCTAGAATGATTTTACGCTTCTACTATGCAATATCACATGCATTACGGAGATTTTTTTTTACATGAAATTCATGTAGTCTTTTTTTTTTTCCAAAGCAGTTTGAAGATGTAGCATGTTACTGTGCTAGAACACCTGCTTGCAAGCAGTCAGCCTAGGTTCGATTCTCACTTCGACCTGAATACATTTATTATTTATTTGCCTCTTCCTCAATTTTTCAGTCATAGAAAAGATGGTAATTTTTTGCTCACAGAACGATGTCATCACCAATGCCAACACGAGAATATTTGCAAAACAAACTTTTTAGTGTGCATCACCCATCATCATTAGACCCTTTAACATTCTACAAAACCAGGACGCAATTTCGCCTTTCGACTGCACCCAATCAGTCACGGCCTGCACTTGTCAGCCATTCCTCAAGCTGGCTCAGGTCTAGCACAATGCGCGGGCCAGGCAAGGAGGCACAAGAGGAGGCACCTTGATCCCCACAATACGTAAAATGCATGCGGATGGAGGGAGGTATGTTTGCCTCCCCTCTCATAAACTAGTTCATACAACTCCTTTCGAATGGACAACTTAGACCAGTGGATATGTGCCAATGGCTATACACAATTAGGCACATGAATGGGTATGTAACGTGAAGAGACCAGAAGTGGTGAAACTGAATCAGAGGATGCACTGAACAGAGAAAGTTGAACGACACACAAGCAAGGATAGGAGACACATCAGCAAACATGAAATAAAGCTTTCATGTTAACTGTTTTTGTATGTGCAGTTCCACCAACTTGCAGCTGACTAAACCTCTACTCAAAGTATGGCTTAGTAGGGGTACCATACATTTTCCATTCTAGAGTGTTATATAGTTATGTCCACCGTAATTTTGTATTCTCTTAAATTAATAACAGGCCAACTGACACTTGGAGTAACATGACATACAGGGTTTTGAGTGTACTTATAAAAGCATGTTCACAGAAGCAGGAGGTGCAACTTACATGAAAGTTCCGTGCTCCTTATTGATCTCTGGCCTCCAAACAATCTGAGAAGATATTGCAGAGTCATTTGTCTCACTTGGTGAAGTCTTACGGCACTGCTCTTTCTTCTTTGGTGTTGTGCACACAGGCTTGATAGCCTGCTTCAGTGAACCAATGGCAACCTGACATGGCGGCCCAGCTCTGAACTCTGGCAATACAGGTGCAGGCTGTTTTGGGGAACTACTTTGGGTGGGTACAGGCTCAAATGTCACTTCTTCAGCTGGAGTAGAAGCTCGCATTTGGTCTGGCTGGTTGGTGAAAATCCATTCTAAGCGTATCTTTTTAGACTTCGCCTGGTGGGCTTGGCTTAAATGACGACAACAATCATCAAGCGTGAAAAATCCACGGCGGCACTTGCCACAAAGAAACCGCTTCTCTGCACGATTAATAGGTTGTTGAAAGCCTTGTTGAGTAGACCTCCTCTGCGTAGGAGGGGCAGATGACTTGTTACCTTGATGATGGAACTCTGCATGTTTAAGGGCTTCAGTTTTTGATTCATGAAGAAACATGCAAACCTTGCAACGATAGCAGACAACCTGTTCAATAAGGTTTGCAGCAGAAAAATTTTTCTTGGCAGCTTTTCGTGCAACTTGTTCATTTTGTGTATTCTTTGGATTGGAAGTTTCATTAACATCTTTTCTTCTGCTACCGTTTATGTTATGAGAAGCATCAGGCTGAGGAGATGTAGAGGCTGGAGGAGGAGCTAATCCTGCACTTTTATTCAGCGAGTCACCTATAAGGCTTGTGACTGCCTCAGACGTAACCAACCTCTGTGTATCAGACACACATGGCTTAAGTACTATATGCTGTATGCTACTCATTTCACTAGGGTTGGTAAAACTGGGTGCTTTTAATTGGCTGTCAATTTGCCTTTCTTCCTGAATTGTCTGCACTTGCTGTGGGCATGGAATGCTACAATTTGATTTTGCAGTGCAATAAAGAGCGTCATCCAATAACCCATTTAATGAAGATGGCTGTTCCGATGAAACACTATTATTTGGAATGTTTAAGAGTGGAATGCATGAGTACTGCTGATAAGCTGATGTCATATTGTCTACATCAAGCACTGATTCTGTATGTGTCATCTGCTGAACATCAATTCCAAGGGGTGGCAGTGATTCATTAGGGGAGAGGCTTGACCTCTGGATGTCGCAATAAGAATATGCAGCTTCCATTTGGTAACTATGGTGATGAACTTGTTCATTGATGTCCTGCATTTTAGTGTTGTCAATATGGTATGTATCAACATTTTGAGTTGCGCAGGCTTGCATATCATCAACATGTTTCTCCGAGGGTGTTGCAGCTCGAGGTGACTCTGGACTAGTCTGATTGTTCGTCATCTGCGCCAGAAGTGCCCACAGCTGCAAACCCCCTCCGGCACGAGGCCCCGGCCGGAGCTCGGATACCGGAGGCAGCGCACCTGTTGACTGGGTATCGGACGTGCTTGTTGTGCCCAACATGCCATTGGAAAGCCAAGTCGGTATAGATGAAATAGGAAGGGTGCCATTTTGGCTGCACGCTGCAGGAGTGCCTTCTGAAACGCCGGCTGCAGAAGATTCCAAATTTTCGAGGCACTGAGCAATTTGTGACGTTTGACTAGATGCCGAAATATCGCAGCTAAGGATGTCAGTTGACGATGCTCCAAAATCCATTGTTTCCAAACTTTGCCCACGCTGCTGTAATTAAAGACTTCTCAGCTTCACCTTCATGCTGCACTCGATACCTGAAAGGCGAAATGCCGCGTTCAGAATGACAGCCCATGCATTGACAGCAAGCCAGCAACTCATACATTGTGAACAAGTGGACGAATTCACGTGATTTGAAGTTGCATTTTAGACCAACCCATAAATTATTAGATACTTTTTTTTTTCTCTCTCTCTCTCAGAAAGTATATAATCCTACAAACTCACACGCTCCAACCGCCGAGAAAGAAATTCAAAAACGCGGCATTGATTCCGTAAGCCTACGAACACCTCGTCGAGAGGCTAGGGAGGATAGCTTGATAAATTGAAAGCGATAGGCACCCATTTTAAACTTTTACAACATATGCAAGGTAAAACTCCTACTTTCATAAAAGTAAGAAAAGTAGCTCAAAAGCGCACGTGCTTTTATTTACAAGCAAATAAATTTTGTTACCTAAGGTGCAAAGTCGGGCCATAGTCTCTACAGGGGTTCCTGTGTGCTGAAGAAGAATATGGTTGGGCTATCCAAATAGGAGCCACCCAATGAAACTTGGAGAAATAACCGCCATATCAACGTAGGATTTCGATTCGCCTGTTTTCAGCCAACGGGATAAAAGTGCGACATTGGTAGCGTAACTTCTATAGCATAGCCTCCTAGATTTTCCTTGCCTGACGAATGAGCGCGAAATGCTGGTCATTTATGGCGGCGCTGCCTACGTAGAAACAAGGGTTTTTGTACTTGGCCTTTGAGATTAGCAATTTTGGCGTTTGTTACTAATTTTAGAGGATGCCTTGTATTGAAAAAGTTGCCCACTGAATGACGGCGTCACTTACTTAGAGTTAAATAAAATTACGTTTACACGTTTACGTTTTTTTAGAACTTTTTACGTTATTTTTGTTGCATATAAGCTTCAAAAACGTAAAAATTTATTTAAAGACACCCCTACTTAGGTGGCGCTACTATCATAGTTTCGACGACGACCGCTTTTTAATGACCGCCGATAATTCGGCAGGCAAAAGAAATCTAGGAGGCTATGTCTATAGCATGACCTACTACACTCCTGACCTGTTCAGATAGCGGGGTTCCTATGGGAGCGCGTGTCCCCGCTCTCGTTCAATCGCTCGCCGTAGGTGGCGCTACCTATAACCTGTTCGTCTGCTACTGTGCGGCCGGCAGGAGGGCGACGGACTGATACCATGCGTCTGCTTCTGTGACAAACTGCCTATACGTGTGATTGTTTTTTGCTGAAAAGGCTAACGTGTGCTATGTGTTACATTTTAGTAGTTAGGCTATACTGGTTGATTGACTTCTAAAGCTGTATATTTGCGTAGAAATGTCTTGCTGCATGGTTGTTTTTGCCATTCCAGCCTAAAAAAACTTCAATTTAGTATTCATAAAGCTTTTGACTAATAATGTACTCATTGGTAATAGAATATCAAACTGATTTTAGGTTGTTTAGGACGCGTCAGGTGAAACGCAGTGCCCCTGTTGAGCACTTACCTTGGACACTCGCCCTGGACAGGTGTTACACTTGTAGTCAATTGATAGAAGAGAATAATGCACATACGCCCACGGACGCATATCAAGGAGAGACACAGGAATTGAAGCTTTAACTCTTACTGTGACCTACACAACAAAAATTGTGCGTCAAATTTCGCTACGGGAGTTTGTCTGCTGGAACGGGGAGCGCTGGCCGATGCGCGTTTCTATGATTTTATATGTCCGTGCGATGAGACGATATGGTAAAGGCAGTGATGTGCCTATCGAGGGCAACACATTGCGACCCCAATAAAGTTTTTATCGTCATCATTATCATCATCTTGTCGAGCATAGTTAATAATAATAATAATAATAATAATAATAATAATAATAATAATAATAATAATAATAATAATAATAATAATAATAATAATAATAATAATAATAATAATGTTTTATTTTTCATCAATAGTTTGATGAAGGACAGCGGCAGGTAAAAGCTGCTCTTCGAAAGAGGCAGCTTGACATAGGCCCACAGACGCCTTTAGCACGACAGCACTGGCAAACAGTTAGCAATGTTATCTAAGCAACAATTACAAAAATATCAAGTTCAAATTCTAAAAATAAAAATAGCAACCATGATAACAATGTAGCAACTGCAAAGAAATCTTGAAAACTATACATGTGTATATCGTGCAATTGAGTTCGGGTACAGAGTAAGAAATCTATGCCAGCTTTCACATATTTATCAATTAACGTAGAAACTGTGTAGAACAACCTATCTGTGGAGTAGTTTGTTCTCGAAGTTTTTATTTTCCATGTTTCTTTATGTCATGTTTCGAACAAATTATTTGGCTGCAGTTTCGAGAGGTCGTACAAATAATGTCGACTTTCTTGAAATTGACGCCTGACCACCAATGCTAACTTAAAATCGTAGAGACGATGTAGGGGTGGTATTCCAGCCTGTTGAAACAATTCACTTCTGCGAGCATCATACGACCAGTAAAAAATTATTCTAATATACGTCTTTTGCATCAGGTACAGTTTTTGTAAGCGCGTGTTAGTCGTAGTCCTTCATACCAAGAAACAATAAGCAAGATGCCAACAGAACAGTCATTTATAAAGTAAGAATTTTACCTTGTATAGTAGAACAGTTTTGCCACTGTACACCGTGCCCTCTACGCGAGATAACTGACCCAGCACACTGTAAATGCGATCGTTCAAAGCATATTGCTCGAAAATGTAACTCCAAGAATTTTTATACAATTTACTAACTCAATAATAGTATCGCCATACTTGAAATGTATGTTTTCATTAACAGACTTATTTTTAGGGCGGAATAGTACCGCCTTTGTTGTACTAGTGGTTATGTTTGATTGATAGCGCCCAAGGGCGACACCCGCAGTTGGGGCGCGTACACATGCTGAAAATGTGCCATTATACTCGTTTGTCAATGAAAAGCAGATCCCTCAAAGTGATATCAAGGTTTCTGCTAAAAGAATTTGGCGAGTGTATGCGTGTGATTCGAGCAATGTTACAGCACTTCAAAATGAAACAAAACACATTTGTCGCTTTACTTATGCGTGCCACAATATGCCAGTTAAAGCTGATGTTTCAAACAAAGTTTCTGCACTTTCGAAGAATATCCTACTTGCTGGCACACAGTGACGGCTTGTGTCTGCAATAAAGAAAAACATATGTACGCGTACAGAGCTGCGTGCATTTGGGTCATAGTTCAATAAAATGTGCTAGCAAGGTTCTGGGCGCGTACATGATACAATGGAGGCATGCAACTAAACTTTTAAAATCTTGCGAGATTTTGGCTTTTCGGCTATTCTCTTTCTCTTTCCTTCTTTGGCTGTTTTGTCCCGCACGTAGTTTGAGAAGAAAGGACGGCTAAATTTTTGCAACACTAGCCGCGCCATGGCTTCTCGGTGCTCGCTAGTAGCGCCTTTATGGCTGAAAAGAGGGTTCAAGGCCACTGCAGGTAGCACAGTTTGCACAAAAAGTGCCATCGGCCTCTTTTTGGAAATGGCCAATGGCGCAAATGCTTCCGCGGCCCTTTCTAGAGTGCTCACAAAGGAAAGAAATGAGATCGTTGGGTATGAAAGCCCTCCCCTGTCTAAATTAAATATCACAGCAGTAGCTGGTCCAGATGAGCTGGGAGCCTTGATTTTGCCGATGCAGTCGTCGCAAGTAATGCAATCCTCAGCTGCTTTCACCAGGAAGCCCGCTATAAGGCCAAGCGTGCTGGCCCTTATGCCTGGCTGTGGGGCACCTGTGGGAAGGTAGAAATGAAAAGTGTGCAAGAATTTTATCAGTATATAGATAAGCATGCATGATTAAACCGACACGTGTCCGTATACAAATATGAGAAATATATATATATATATATATATATATATATATATGTATATATATATATATATATATATATATATATATATATATATATATATATATATATGGATGTAATGCGCTTTCAGATAACAACTGTTGCCCCACCGCGGTGGTCTAGTGGCTAAGGTACTCGGCTGCTGACCCGCAGGTCGCGGGACCGAATCCCGGCTTCGGCGGCTGCACTTTCGATGGAGGTGAAAATGCCGTAGGCCCGCGTTCTCAGATTTGGGCGCACGTTAAAGAACCCCAGGTGGTCGAAATTTCTGGAGCCCTTCACTACGGTGTCTCTCATAATAATATGGTGGTTTTGGAACGTTAAACCCCACATATCATCAAGATAACTGTTCATTCAGCCGACGTTTGCGTCGGGAGAGCCCCGTCTTTTTCAAGGTATAATAATATTTACACATTTTCCGCGTCGATTTATAGCTTGTCACGACAGGAGGGAAGAAGTCCGGAGAATAGTATAAACAACAACATAAAAAAACTGAGGGAGAAACGTTTAAAAATAAAAAAAAATCTAGGAGAAGAAGCAAGAGAAAGACGACGGGATTAGGAAGGGACAGCATCTCAAGAGAGTAAGGCGAACGCAAACGAGCCATGCCATCATCTGTGTGCCAGTTATGACAGCGATTCAAAACCGCCGAAAATTTCTTCCCCGATTGCGGGAAAGGGACGTCGGTTAGTCGAGTTGTGTGGGCGCCTGGTGAAAGCATGTTATATTTTTAAATGTAAGCCATAGTACCTGCTTGTACCATGGACTTATCGTTACATACATACACAGTATAACTGATTGAGAAGCATGTTTTCATCTACATCGTGCACTGACGCAAACGCTGCCTCACGCGGCTTGCATGTAACACAGTAAGCAGCGCAGAGTTTATAATATATGCATAATATCGTATAGTGGGGAATTGTTGGACGGTGTGTAATAATTTTTAAATAATGTAAATCATTCCATTACACGGAATCAACGAGATATGAAAAGCGCACCACGGCAAGTCTGCAGGGCTTCTAGATGTGGCCGCATCGTCTGGGTTATAGTAGCAGATGTCGATGCCGCGCACTCGCCTGACGACCCTTGATTCTGGTTTACTAGCGAGTGCATTTCCAGAGGTTGTCCGGCTTGCTTTACTGCTGTGGAGCACGACGCCTGCCTTGCACTGGGCGATCCAAGAGGAGACGTTGTTTGCTCTGTACTGCCGCTTGGTGATGAGTGCATCATTCCCATCACGAGGACTTTCTGCAGTGATGAAAGCGCAGCACGGGCGTCTGTCTGATCGTTGCTTCCTTGAAGCTGTCTGATGGTGGAAAAAAGTGCTTCGACAGGGTCACTGGAGAATTTGGCAGTCAACACGTATAGGAAACCTGAACGGATGAGAAATTGTGTGCACTGTACTGTGGACATTGTGGTCAGTTGGAGAGCTTCGTATGTTTCAAGAGATATGAATGCCCTCTTATGTGGTGCCGCGGCTTTCCATGCTGCGAAAAAGGGCAGAATTCCTGCTCCAGCCATATCAACCTGAAAATAAAGCAGTTTATTGTAGAAAATATGAAACCTAGCGGGATAAATGGAATGTACCTGTCATCATCTGGGGAACTGAACGGCATCCTGTTTTGGTCCCGGCTTACTACGTGGAAGGTTGTATTTCTTATGTTGTGTATGGTGAACCATTTAAATATCATTTCCATCAGCTCGATGGTTGGCAGGCAGTCTTCAAACCCGAAAATGCCAAATCTGCGGCCGTATTGTAAGAGGTATCGTAAGGCCGATGTCACCTAGAAACCAAGGAGACGCGACATATTAAAAATGATCGGAATTATTTAGAGAGAGGTTTCTAAGCTTGGACGTTCGTATACAGCAAGTGAGACGAGTTACAAGTGGCACTGCAGTCATCAATAACGTGCACTTTTAAGTGAGTTTGTGTTAGTGAACATATATTTATAGAAGCTCTAATGATACGTAATTATTGTGTGGTAAGCAATACGCGCAGGTACATTCGTTAAGAAAGGGAAATTGTATGTTCAGATAACCATGCGCTGTTAGCAGCAGCAGTAGCAGCAGCTCATGTGCATGTTTTATGTGACCATACTGATAAATATGTTAGCAGTTATATACGTATTGAATTACATTTTCACCATTTGCTTCCGTTTGGGTTCTACAAACAAATAAACCAGAAACTAACATGAATATTCACGTATCGTTTGCGGTGAATTACTATTAAAAGGCAGTTTTTGTACTGCTTCATTTGAACGAAAAGCTGCAAAATTTTTTCTGCTTCTGCATGAACATTCACTTGACGTAATATGATGTAAAATGAGTTGTGGCGTAATATTAGCGCATAAAAGTTTGCCCGAGCGCGCCAAAGAATTTGAGAAGTATAAACGTCACTACTGATAGAAAACTGCGAGCATGATTCTAGCTCAATTAGATGTATTTTTTTGTGTAATACAGGTTGCAGGAAGCATACATAATTTACAGCTAACGAAAAGGCATTTCCTGCATGACCTGTGTGCGTCACGCATTGTGATGTCTACAAGGAATACAGAGAATCTGGGAGTGTGTGACACTAACGCTAAATGGGTTTACACCTTTTCTTATACATGCCTGTGGAGAGAACACTTCAACGGCCCTCTTCACGCTTAATTTCTCGAAGTTCGTCGGGTAAACGTGCTTCTGCGTAAGGTTCCGAACAAGCTTGAACGACGACTGTTTTTCTGTTATGTCCAGCAACTTTCTCAAATACGTGGGGCTGTAGTAATGCCCATTGTTGAACAGAACGCGTTTGGTGGACAACATCTGGTTGCGGAGATTTTTCAGGATGTGGCAGTGGTCAAAAGAAGGAAGAGCCTCCGATTCATATCCATTGGATGTCTGCAACAACAACAAAAAAAAATGAATAAATAAATTGGAGAAAGGCGGCGTTTGCGGTGTGAATAATTAGTTGCATATACGGTTTTCTGTTTTTTACCAAAGTAATGTAAATGTTAGCCATTCGAAGGACGTGTGCGTTGTTAATTATTACCTTATTATAAAATTTCTCCACTCATGCCATGATCCTGCAGGTCTGTGTGTGTGTTTTATTGAGATTACCTACACCTTAAATCTTCCGAAACTTTAAGTATACTCACCCATTCATACAGTCGCATGCAGGTGCGCATACATTACGCAAACGCGTAACGTCAATTGATTTGTAAAGACGGGCTATTTACAGCGATTGTACTGTTGATAGCAATCTTGTTATGGACACGGCTTTCTTATATGGCAGCGCTGATTAAAAAAAAAGAAGGGGGGGGGGGGGGCTCTGATGCTGATACAGGCTTTTTTTTTTTGTGCGACCAAGTCTTTTGTTTTTTTTTTCACTCAAACACGGCATGCATGCGCGTGCATACATTGATTGATAGATATGTGGGGTTTAACGTCCCAAAACCACCATATGATTTGAGAGACGCCGTAGTGGAGGGCTCCGGAAATTTCGACCACCTGGGGTTCTTTAACGTGCACCCAAATCTGAGAACGCGGGCCTACAACATTTCCGCCTCCATCGGAAAAGCAGCAGCCGCAGCTGGGATTCGATCCATGCATACATTGAGGGCACACTGCGAATACATATAAAAAAATATTTACACTAGGCATTGCGCACAGCTTAATGCGAGCTGAGAGCAAAAATATATACTTAGCAACTTACGGCACAACTGGCATCATACGACCATTCCCTAACATGGTGAACATCTTTTTGTTCGAAGCGTGGTTGTCAGCTACAAGTCGGACCACTTGGAATCCTGCTTCTTCGATGGACTTAATTACTTCAAGTGTTAGTTGATGCAGGTGGTCTCCTTTTACTGACTGCGTGAAATAATATCCCACGGGTAGCCTGAAAAAGATAAAAATTAGCAGTATTCTGTAGCGTCGGTGTCAGCTGGGCTTAAAATCTCACTCCGTTGGAGAGAGGAGGAGAGCCAATTGCTCATCTCGAGTGCTTGTCAAATAAGTGCACAATGCTAAAGTTGACTTGCCGGGGGAAAGGGGGGGGGGGAGCCCTCCTTAAAAAATAGAAGACGACTCCCCCTGCCCCTCCCCAGACTTTCAGCCCTGGTCGCGGAATAGCACATCATTGGTTAATTAAAGACAACGTTTTCTTTTATATCTATAGGTGGGGTTAGTCTTTCAGTCACAGCGAAACGTATAGTGATAGACAAAGTGATGATTCACTTACGTGTAGTGCGTTGATAAGCCTACAAATACAAAGGCGAGAAGGTGTGTGGCCAGCTCGTTCTGAATGCCCACTTCTTTTTCTAGGCCTCCCATTTCGACTAGGCCATGGACTTTGTCTCCTTTTTTTTCGTACGTCAGTGCTTGCTTTAAAGACATTTCATCCACAATCAAAGAGCCCATTTTTTCCTAACAAAAAAAATGGGGGGGGGGGGGGGGAATTCACTGTTAACAGACATGCGTTATATATCGGCGGAGACAGTTAATTATATAAATAACCTTCTTTGTTGTTCCGTACATGACCCATAATTTAACAGAAATGATTAGGGTTTAGAGCAAACATAGCGCACTGCCGTATACTCTTAAACAATACATCTTACGTTCGAGTAATCCTTGCCACAGGTCTGGTCCCTGTTTATTCACTTTAAATCACTTTTCATTCGGCTATACTAGCATGTATTTTGATCAGTCAAACACTGCCGCGTGCGCTGCTTCCTTCGTTATTCGCGTGCATATTGTAAATAATTCTGATCGAAGTAACGTACCCGTTCGGACAAGTGTGTGCTTTCCGTGTGCAGCCTTTGCTTCATTAGCGACGAAACAACTGCTCCAGTACAGTAGCCAATGTAACGCTTCAGTGTCATGCGACTTGGAAGGGTGAGGCACCCAGACCTCCGCAACATTTCGTACCCGCAGGGTGATTTAGCTTGCCACATTATGGCCTGCCTGATGGTCACCTCTTTCCAACGGTGATTTTTCTCACGCAGGCATTGCAATTGCTCCTTCAAAAATTCAGCCTTCTTGTCGTTCTCGTCCAGCATTTCCTGATGATGAAGGGCAGTTGAAATGCGTAAATCACGCGCAAGATAACATACTGGAAGAAAGCGGAAGTGCAGGGGAGAATGGAAGCTTGACCCGCTGAAACATCGTAGAGCAGGGAATGCCGGCGCATCCAACAATTCGACATTTACGTACTGGACTTGCCCTTGTCAAGACAAGTTTAGATGTTGTGGGAGAGTGAGCAAACGTTCACACACACGCTACTAAAGGAGGCTGTTGCTGTCCTGACAAAGAATAGTGCACCTGATTGTCGAAACCTTGCATTTGGCATCATTCCTTATTCAACAATTCATAATCGCGAGAAAAGATATGCGTTTACTCTTAAGACAATAATAGATGTTTCATGTCACCACGTGGACATTCAATTGCAGCTATGCTACATTAATGAATTGCGCAACTTCAGACTTGCGTCATGTTCAGTAACCGGCCACCGACTCACACATACGGACTAGCGGAAACTGTTCACTTACACTTTCCAAACCATTCCTTCCTTTTGAATGCAATGCTGCTCGCTCAAGTTTATAAGGCAGACATCACATGTGCGTCAAGCGTGGCTTCCTGTACGAGCATAAACCGATCGGCCCATAGCACCAACACAACACAGCTTGCAAATTACTGTCTTTCCAGTTGTCAGTCCAATGTCCCTAATTGTTTGCGACGACAGAAATTTGAACTCGTTGTTCGCAGGATAAAGGAATAAACTCGGGGTGCGCCAATCACGCAAGGGGGTACACACCGACCTTCGTATCTTAAACACTTGCTCATGTGCGCGCTTACCCACCAACCTTCTTTTATTCCGTGTCCTTATGTCAGGCCTACACCTTCGTATGACCAGAAAGATTGCCAGCATCGGCGTACACTAAAATGTCACGTAAATTTATATGAAGAAGAAAATCTATAAACAGAGTTTCTCTCGAGCAGACATCATGACAGCGGACTTGTCATCCTTAAGGCTATAATTGTATTTCAGTCTTTCAGAAAACAAGCCTGCTTGTCGAAACGCCGCCTCGAAACAACTTTGCTAAAACTACTGATTAAGCGAGTTGGTTCATGATTATTTTCAGTGTTTGTGTGTGTGTAAACAGCGATTAAAGAATGGGAACAACCCCTGTTCACAGGTTTTTTACTGCAAGCTTCCATCCTCCCCTTTCTGACGTTTCTTACAAAAAAGTATAGGGACACTAAGTTAATAGACTGATAAATGAGTACCTGATAATTCTCTATCGTTCCTGTTCCGATCATACGACTATTAGAACAGAAAAAATTAAGACTAGGTTTAATGTTCTGAGTTTGGCGAACAATCTTCGACACGTGCACGTCGCTTTATGTTGCGTCGCTCCTTGTGTACTTGGCCGCATTGGCTGAGAACATTTCTTTGAAACTTGCTACTTCAGACCTTGCATCTACTAACACAGCAGTCTTAGACATTACCTGAGGCCGTCAAAGTATGACGTCACTGCTAGCCGATGCGCGAGAACTTAAGGGTAGCATCGCCACCTTTACAATCTCTTATAGTTTCGAGAATTCCTTCGCTCACCGGACGTCCTCTCGTAGTACGGGTGATGTTGATAGAATTGACTTACTCCTAAATTGTTATTATGTTCAGAGTCATTTAAAATTAAGTGCGAATATAAAAGGATTAATATAACATTCGTCCACTGACGTAACTGCGTACCTGCAGCGTTAGAGCGCCATTCGCCTCGGCGAGGGCTTTCATCTCGAAAAAATCTTTCTTTAGCTTCTCTAGCTGTGAATGCAAATTACTGTTCATTTCTTTCAGCCTGCTGCACTTCCGCCGCAACGTCTTAGTTGCCGCGACCAGGGAGCGCATCTTCTTCAAACCGATCGACGTTTGCGACGTCATGGAGCGCCGCACTGGCCTCTTCTGGTGTTCCCCTTGTATAACTGAACTACAGTCCTCCATGTTGTCCTGACTTGATGGAAAATGCAACCACTCGGCCTCTTGTGCAGTTTCAATTGGGTTTTCAGAACTATATACTTCCCCAGGCTCCGCTGATGCTCGCTCTTCTTGAGAAGAATCTGCGTTGGACGTTCCCCTGTTAAGCCGAAAAAATAGCGAAGCATGACAGATATATTGTCCCGCTAAACGCATAAGGGAATACTGCTAACATTATTCTTATCCGTTGTTGTGTTAGACTTCAAGTTTTACTTACAGTATTTTTACTTGTATGGGTGCCAGCGTTGTTTCCCCCTGCGTTCGTTTTAGCCGCTTTTTCCGCGGCATTGGATCTTGCCCACGTGGATCAGGAGAAGCGGGAAATAAGGAAGGCACGGCTGTGGGCTTCAACATCTTCCTTTTCGTCACTGTTCTGTAATCTTCAGCGGTAAAATGCAGGCTGCATACCTTCGACCGGTCGCTGGGCTCCCAGCGATGCTTTCCTGAACCTTCATCAAAGGTAAAGGCGTATACGCATGGCTAGCAAGATTGCAAAATAACAGTCCATAACACCTTTTTTGTAATTAATTTTTCCAAAATGTAACAAGCCAAATGGGGAGGTTAAGAAAAAGCATAGCCACGATTTTATTCTGGGGAAGTACCTGTATACCCATTTAGTGCATTTTCATATTTTCTCGCAGCCTTTGTAAATGTCTTTTTAGATGACTACATTCGTCGATTGATGTTTAGTGATGGTACGTGGTCGAGTCCAGTGGCATACTTGAAGCCCTTTATTCGAAGAGCTCATTGGCTATACAAGGTTTCATAACAAAGCTGAATTTCCTAATGGCTGCTCAGTAACGAAGCGCGACCCAATACGACAGAGCCGAAACCGAGGCGCACTTGAGCGCCTTGGTCTTGGTTTAGAGCGCAAACCTCTAACCTGTACAATGACTCCGCCGTTGACGACGATGACTTCAGTGGTTTTTGTTCTTTTGCATTCTCCAAAACGAATCTTTGTCATGCATGATGTAATCTCAGATGCAGCACGCACATAAATAGAGTATCTGTCGCTGATTATTCCAGGTTCCTCATTTCGGTTTCACCGGCTGGGTCTCTTAACCCTCACAGAGCCGATGGGCTCATTGCACGAAGGACTTCAATTATGTCATTATACCCGACCGCCTGCCAGCCCTATATAGAGTGAACAGTTAATCGCCACATTTCGTTACCGGCGTAACGTTTCTAATTACCTTAAGTAAGCTTATACAGAAACGAACAAAGCTGTATGGGAAGATAGAGGTTTGAGATGAGAAATACATTTGACCAAATTCGGTCGCTAACTTCAGTGACACCCAGTGTTCAAGAGTTGTCCATCGCTAAACACACACACACACACACACACACACACACACACACACACACACACACACACACACACACACACACACACAGAGAGACAAACTGTGGAGGCAGCACGTAAATATTTCATATCATTAATTTTTTTATGGATTTCGGCGGCATTTGTTGAGGCAGCCTTCGGGAAGGGTGCTCGAACCCCTCGCAACCCACCGCTACGCATTTTTACATAATTTACAGATTTCGTATATTTACTTTTTTCTTGTGTGCTATATTTAAATTTCTTGGCACTATTTGTGGAGCCTGCCATATTAGCCGCGGTACTTTAAAAAAGCTTTCATGTTTTTTAGCTCAGTGAATTAGCATAACACACGGAAATAAAGTTTACTAAAGCACCCTGGTGCTTCTTGCTAGCTTGCAACTCGTTCTGAATTGAAACGACTCTCAAAAACACAAGACTCACCTTTTCTTCCAATTGCCTCGATCCATTCTTCCCGTATGTCTGTGGCAGGAAACTCGTGAAAACTTACTTTACTTTGTTTGCCTTGTTCCGATTTGCAATATGGCACGCAGCAATACACCATACTTACATTTGAGGTGTCAGCTCATCTAAAAAAAAAAAACTGCACGCGGCCACTATTAGAGCTGACTACTGCAGCTATCTGCCGTCTGCAAGTTTCTGCACACGACCTACTGTGTTTCTGCGTATCTTCTGCAATTTGTGTATGCGTATCGTCTGGAACCATCGTGATTCAGTGTGAACAATGAATGCCTAACAATAGTTTTTTTATCTCGTTGGACTACGTTTTCATTCAAGAAATATTTTCATAATAAATTTTCCTTCATTTGTAGAAAAGTTCCCGTCTGCTTGCCACTGTGACCCTTTGTGTGCTTTTTTTACGGTTCTATTTCTGCTTCAAACGTCCACACGAATGCAGCCAACTCTGACGAGGAATCATATCGCTTTATTTGCCATATTTTACACATTCATACACAATTCATGCACAATAAGAACGATTTGCACTGCCACAGCGATGGCTGAAGCAGACGACAGCGAACAGGTGCTGCCTAGCGCCACGCCGCTCGTAGGTGACGGCCCTAGCGGCAGAAGGTATGAACTAGAACGTGGGCGCTGGAAGAGGTGCTCTCTGGGCAGGTCAGGAGTGTAGTAGGTCATGGTCTATAGAAACCCTAGGATCCAGTCAACGCCTCCTCTTTTTTTTTTTTTTTTTTTGTGCCTGTTGCGTCGCGCTCGTTCCCATTGCTCTACGATTAGAGCTCTATTTCTCCGAGTGACTGTGTGGTGGCGTCAGGTTATTACCCTCTCGCGTGGCCTTTCTTTGCTTGCTAGGGTGGATGCGGCGCAGCCACTGGTTTTTTTTTCTAATTTTATGCGATTACTTTCCTTCGTATTCATGAATTTCGCATTCGTTCGTTTGTTTTGGTAACGTATCACGAAAAAAAAAAACGCGTCGTAAGGTGTCTTTTTTTTTTTTTTTTTGCAAGCGCTCGAAGGAGTGCTCGGCCGAATATCAATCCCGAATGAAATATAAGTGGAAATCACAGGTTGAAGTAATAAAACAAGACACCAAAATTTTACATGCACAAAAGCAATAAAATAAAATAAAATGAGTTCAGGTGAATATCCGAAACATATAGCTGAAGGCCACAGATCAAAAAGCACAAAAGCGAGTTCGCTTCTTTCCGAGTCTGACAACACTTGGTTGAGAGCGCCCATGTCCAAGTCTCCCCAGAAGGCGTCTCGTTGTTTGTGGTATTCAAGTTTGCTTTATTCTCATTTCGTCTATGATGAGGCTGCAAACTTTGGCTTGCTCCATCCCAAGGCACTTCATTTCAGTATCGAGCCTCTGCTTCACTAGCTCACTGAAGCCTACTTCTCCGGCAGTTGTTCCCATGTATCTTAGTTGCGTAGTTCTGCACAGGAGTGCGAGGAGCCCGGTCCCGATATACTCGTATATACGACTTTGTTGAGAGGCTTCTCAAAATCACGCACTGTCGTATAGTGGTTTCATACCATTTTGGTTTTTTTACCTTGTAGTTTAGGACTTGGTCCATTATCACTCTGGCTTTAGTGCAGTCTCTGGCTACTTCAAGAAATATGCTTTCGTTGCACTCTTCCTTTAATATATGCAGCTCTTTCTTGTAGGCATGTACTAGTGCCTGCAGACTTTCATTTCGTTGCTTCTACGCCCTTTTTTTGTCACGCCATTTTTTCCGCTCCAAGAATGGCTGTTGTGGAGCTTCTGCTGTCGGCTTGAATACCAAAGGTCCTCAAGGCACGCGCACCTGCAACCTCTTCCACTGGCTTCGCATCAGGACTTGAGAAAGTTTGCGGAATGTCAGTAGTGACTAGCTGCTGCTACAAAAGAAAAGTCTTGGATGTCACTTGGAGCAAAACTTCTTGCTTGTTGCCGGCTACGGCTCAGTGGCTTCAGCGTGTTTGTGCGAACTTCTGACTCTGGCGCAGGGCGCGAATCGACTTCCTGAATTGGCAGACTACAGAATCACGCTTTATTTTCTGAGTGCTGCTGCAGCTTCTCACCTTTGGTGGCTCCTTCCTTATGTAGGAACGGTAATGCGGAAAGACACTCGGCACCGCATCAGGCTTTAGCATGCGTCTTTTGGTATTTTTCCTAAAGTCAGTTTCCACAAAATGTAGGCTGCACACGGCCGAGTGATTCGAAGTGGAATTCGGCACCTAGTTCTTCCGCGCGATAACTCGTAGCCATCGTTCACGTAGCTCACTGTTCGCTGGAATTTTGTGAAAGGACACACCTGCTTCTTTCTTTCGCTGGCTAGAAGTGCCGAACGGAACGCAACAGCAGTGCATGGTGATCGATAAATAAGCAGGATGACATAACCGCTGAAGCAAACAGACGGACCTACAACCATCACTGCGACCAAACGACGGGTTAAACTTGTCGTCTGCAAGGTGGCTGGGACACAAATTATCACTTTGGTATGAGGCATATTGGCAGCTTATTTCACCTTTATTACGCGTGAATACTACTTCTTTTAATGCGATGGCAACAACTCCGAGCAAGGTTCGCGATTACTCTAAGCAGACGACAAAAAAAAAAAAAAAAGCGCAGAAAACCGGCGCACGAGCGTCATCTGCTGAGCCTAATAGCGCAGAGCCGTTAAGCGGCGTCGAGGCGCAAAATCGAGAGAGGGAGAAGGCGCGACGGCGCTCACGCGGCAGGAGGCGCCAATCCATTTGGCGGCTTGTTGCCACCGTCGCCATCTACGTGAGGAGGGGACAACTAACAAAAATAATAATAATGACGTCAAATTTAGAAGTGGTAGCAACGTCGCGCATTTGCCCGACATGGCGCGAAATTGAATTTTTTTTAAATTGCTGACCTTTCAAGTGCCGTTATTATCACGCTACTTTATTGCGCCTTGTGCCTCGTTAATTGCATGCGGCAGAGAAAAGAAACAAAAGAATCAAAGATTGAGGAAACAAAGTTAATAGCCAAATGACGTAGTAACTTCGCAGAGGCGTGAGAAAACTGTTCACGAGCACAATAGCATATTGCCCAATCGTCGAAAACCACAGCAGCGAGACGGCAGCTTTGAGGTAGCCGTAGAGTACAGCATATCGTCACAGAACACCTGCTAGTTTATATCGTTGCTTAGCGTGTCGCGTTCACCGTCACCAAAGGAAAGGGCACGCCGGCCGTGCGCCAGCGAAAGCAGTCGGCAGTCACAGGAGCGGATTCTGTGAGCTAGTTGAGCCACAGACCATCTATACACTACCATTTAGAGAAGGGAAACTGTACCTTTGACAAGATAATGAAAATAAGGGTAGCGGTGGCGTTGTGAACTAACTTATCCCAACGCCTCCTATAGAGACGAGGGAGATGCTTTTCGACCGACGAGCTGGAAGGTTGTCGCGGCGCGCTGCTGCAACGAACGCTTCTGGCGTCTGTCAATGGTTTTCTTGTTCCGCTCATCACTGAGGCGGCTCCCCTAGTAGGGGAGCCCACCTAAGAGAGGAGATGATCGCACCGTCAAGATTCCAACCCCTCAGCCAACTGGAAGATGCTTCTAACAGCCAGCGGACCCCGCCACCCAAGGATCATCCCAGTCAGGGCTTCCGAGCGACACACCACCAAACGACCCCACCACCACAGGAAACCAAGTAAGCCGCATCTTTTCGCTGAACATCATGCGACATCCAAGCATACAGCTATGGACGACCAGGAAAGCTGGACTGTAGTACAGAACCGAAAACTCCCGCGACCCAAGCCACCAACCTCCCCACAGCCACAGACCCTATTTGAGACCATAATGTTGAGGCCTAAAGCATTTAACATAACCCAGATTCCGCTGTACCAGTTTGCATATAGACTCCGTCAAACTCTTTCTCAAATAAAGGGGTAGGACATTCACTGCAGACTCCTCACCAAGTCTAGCCTAGCAGTAGTTGATTGCTACACAGAGCAAGCTGCACATCTATTGCTGAACCTGGAGCACCTGATGATCGACGATCAAATCGTGCAGTTTAATATATATGTTGCGCTCCGTGAAGGGCACATAAGAGGCGACATTCACAGAATCAAGGGATTAACTGAAGAGCAGTTAATGCAAGGCCTGACAAGTTCAACTCACGAAATTGTGTCAGCAGGGCCTCTGGGTCGTCTAACACAGCACTAATTACGTTCAATGGTTCAAACCTGCCAGAATACGTGGCTTTCGAATCAGTAAGTTTCCCTGTGCACAAATACAGACCCAAGATAACATCATGCTTGAACTGCTTAGGCATAAGACACAGAGCTGACGTTTGCACAGCTCCTAAAAGGGACCCAGGAGTTTGCACGAAGTGCCATACGAAACATGCGGATTTTATCTGTACTCCAAAATGCATACACTGCAATGGACCTCATGACTCTCGCTTGCCTGACTGTCCAAAAGTAGCAGCAGCTACTGCTGCTCTTCGTAAGCGAGTGAACAAACCACACAAGCCAGCGGCACCCTATTCCTCACCAAACCACTGTGCGTCAGGCAAAACGACCCAGAAGGCGCAATAGTCAGAGGAACAAAACTTTTCGTCTTTTGCAACCGATCAACTAACACTCACACCGCAGACGCGCCCGCAGGCGGCAACACAACCTCCAACGCAGCTAGTGTCCCCCACCACATATGCAGCTAAGGTGCATAACACGCAGTCTTCACCTAATGCCTCGCCTGCACCACAGACGCATCCAAGCATTCTGCAAGAACTAGCGGAACTACCAAACACCCAGAAGAAGTATCCGCAAATTATCAGTGACCAACAGAAAACTATTGATGAACTTAAAACTGTGATTATCCAATTGAAAGAACAAAATGCTGCCAGAGACGCTCTAACCTTGAGTCAAGGGCAACTCCCCCCCGAGCATGAGTAACAGCGTCGCTATGACACTGTTGTTTTGGCTACTTGGACTTCAATAGTTTTTTCTTTCTTCTTCTTGGATTGTGTCGGTACCTTTCTGTACGTGACATCATTGTTTGTATATCCTATGTACCACTCCTGCTTGGACCGAGAAGGTCTGCAGTATACTTAAATAAATAAATAAATAAATAAAAAGCTTCGAGCAATTCGCTGCACAGCTACAGCACATGCAACACATTATTGAGATACTCAAACCAAAAACGTCGGCTAAAGGTAACAAACGCGTCAGGCCTATTGCAAGTGGAGATCAAGAATCCATAGATTCAAAGCCATGCCTCTGATAGTTCAGTGGAACGCGAGAAGCCTTCCCAATAAAGTTGATGACTTTTCTTACATCATAAACCCTCTCGAAAAAAACTCCAGATACTATTTGCGTGCAGGAACCGGGTAAATATTGCCCCATTCCAGGCTATGCTGGTGTTTCATCTGGTCGATGTGTTACATATACAAAGAAGAACCTTCCGGCGGTCCGCGACCTCCTTTCTTCAGTTTCCTTCTCGTGCATTCAGACTCGTACTAAAATAGAGGGCAAGACATAGGAAATATTAAACTGCTACAGCCCTCGCAAATCAAGTAATGTGGAGCTATCCCTCAGTAAAATAGACCCTAAAGGTCCAACCTTCAATCTGGGAGACTTTAACACACCATGCATCTTCTGGGGATACTTACAAGATTCTCCCAAAGGGAAGCAACTCAAAAAAGCTTTGGAAGACGCCAGCTTTACCCTCCTCAACACGCCATGCCAATATACAAGGATTGGTGGTGCGAATAAGAATAATACATTGCCAGACCTCACGTGGGTTAGGCACCTACCAAAAGGTACGCACTGGGACTTAAGGCCCGACAATATTGGCAGCGACCACTCACCAATTGTGATTGCCTGGGGCGAAATTTTTACTATGTCAAAGGAGTGTTCCTTCATTGACTGGGACAAGTATTGGTCTTATATGAATGGATGCCCTAAAACAGTCACCCTTGACGAATTTACAAAACATATACGAGAAGCGACAAGGAAGGCAAGCAAAACCTACAAAAAGATTCCTCAAAAGCCTGCGCCCGATAGGCACCTCTTAAACTTGTCGGAGGCACGCATAGCTGCTTTACATGCATACAGGACGAAAAAATCTGCTCGCAATCGCCTGGTGCTTAAGCTTCTTACGAGACAAGCATCAAAGTACGCATACAGGCTACGTAGGCAACAGTGGCAGGATTGCTGCAACCAGCTACACGGTCGGATAAATAATCAAAGGCTATGGAACATTGTCAAATCATTGGAAGGCCGGGGCAAAACTCGAACAGCCGCTGGAAAACTCTGTTTGGCTTCCCATACATCAGCACCAGCCACCGCTGATACGTGCGCCAACACACTTTTTCCCCAACCGGCAAGGCATCCGGAGTATCCAAAGTGGCCAGAGGAAAAACAAAGCAACGACATAATGGATGCTCCCTTCACAATTCAAGAACTTATAATAGCACTAAAGGAGTCAAATTGTAAAACAGCTTTGGGCCCTGATATGATTATCCACAAATTACAGCAACTGACAGAGAACCAACTAACCCCTCTTCTTTCTATCATCAATCAAGTTTGGGAAGATGGCAGTCTCCCTAAAGAGTGGAAGCATTCAAATGTTATACCACTGCCTAAATCAAACAAACCTCCGACGACTGCAAGTAACCTTCGGCCAATTTCGTTAGCTTCCGTAATCGGAAAGGTGATGGAGCGAATGGTAAACAAGCGCCTCACATGGATGCTAGAAAATGGGGAGCACTATCACTGGTCCCAAACTGGCTTTAGACCTCACCTGTCTACTCAAGACACACTCCGGCGCTTATACGAGGACGTACTAAAGAACCCCTCACTTTATTGGCCGAGCACTATTGTAGGTATTGACGTGAAGAAGGCTTTCGATTCGGTGCCCCATGATACTATACTACGAGAGCTGTCAGAACTGTCTGTTGATAGAAGGCTGTATAATTACGTCCGCAGTTTTCTCCAGGACAGGACCTTTTCTATAAAAATAGGCTCTTTCACCAGTCAATCATACTCCAACAAAATCGGAGTTCCGCAGGGAGTCGTTATCTCTCCAGCACTGTTTCACATAACAATGCGCCCACTTGCCTTTCTTCTAAATGAAGTCCAGTCCATCTCGGTGGGAATCTATGCCGACAACGTTATAATTTGGTGTAACGCGCGAGACATCTCTACGCAACAGCAGCAACTCCAGAAGGCAAAATTGATGTTATCACCACTTTTCTTGACAGGCAATGTCTCCAGATTTCACCAGAAAAGACAGAATTTATAGTTGTTCTGAGACCTACAAACCACAGCAAGCAGCAATTTATTCGAGATAAAATCGAACTTACTGTACGCAACACAAGCATACAGTGCAAAGAGCGCATTAAGGTACTGGGCATTATATATCAACAAAACGCCAAGTCCACTCAATGGGTAGAAAAAGCGCTGTGCACTACGAAACAGACAATAAGAGTGCTGCAAAAGTTGACAAATTACGCCTGTGGCCTATCCGAAGGTCAAATTAAAAGGCTCACACAAACACTCGTCCACTCAAGGCTCCTATATGGACTACCCTCCCTGCCAATGACGCCGACCCATGTTGAAAAATTTCAATGCATCAACAAAACATGCATTCGCATTGCCACAGGGCTACCGAAATACACCAAAGTCGAAGACCTGTATGGAACAGGTCTACTTCTTCCATTACGTGACTGCGTAGAAACTCGCACAGCAAGCTCAAAATGAGCGCCTCAAGTTAACCCGACCTGGAAGAGCCATCAGGAACGAGCTAGGTCTAAGAAACCAAGACCTGCCTCAAATTATACCCACCATTCCGCCATCAGACGATATTATTGAGACAGATAATCGGCCGCTTCCAAAACGTATGAGCCAAGCCTCGGACAATCAGTGAAGGGCATACTACGCTCTGCGGCATATTGATCACCTTCAATGTATACCTAACGAAGAAGATATAATCTACACAGACGCCTCATTCACTCTACAAGGCTCCAACACAGGGGCATTTTTCAACCAGAGAACAGGGGAAGCATCCTCATTCTTTATAACTCAGCCCTGCTTACTGCCCGAAGCAGCTGAAGGGTACGCTATTTCGGAAGCTCTCGCCCATTACAATCAAACAGGATCATCGCCAAAAGTTATTCACATCTTCACGGATTCGCAGCAAGTGCTTAAAACACTCCAAACTAGAAGAAAGCTACCAGCGTACGCCAGGCACATCCTGCACAATGCCGCCCAACTTCAAGAACGATCAGTCCGGGTATGAGTTCATTGGATTTCTCATCGGAGCCACGCTGAACTTGCAGTGTGCTGCCTTGCGCACGATCGCCATTCCCGGCCCTGCAGTAACAAGCTGACCAGTATGAGGTCACCCGAGTTTTTTTTTTTTTTTTCATAGAGCTGAAGCTAACAAGCGAGAGCACATTGTAAATAGTCAAATAAAGTTTTCAATGAATCAATCAGTCAATCCTATGGAGACGACACTGGTAGGCCTATCACATGGAGGAAGGAAAGGTAGGAGACGCCCTGACGTCCCTCATTGTGAAGCTACGATGAAGCCGGTAGTCGGCCATATTGACTGGGCAAATTCTCCTCTCTTGTTTACATTCGAATGTAAAGCAGAAGGCACGACTCTCTCTCTGGCTCGGAAAGCACGTGAGCTGCGCAGCGCGCATGTGGTGACGATCCGAAACTAATGGAACGGGGCTCAACACTCTGGGCCAGCACAACACCTTCGGCGAAATCATTTCGTCCCAGTATTAACAGCGAGTAACAGCTCACCGACAACGAAGCAAGTACAAGAGAACGCGCGCTAGATGCACTGACAACGGTGAGTGTTTTCAAACACATATCAGCGATGAAAAACTATTCAAAATTTATACACGACCTAAAGGCTGCTTAAGATTATTCCTCTCAAGACAGCGATGACACTAAAGCTATGACATAAAAAACAGTAATTAGAAGGGCATACAAAAAAGCTGAATTTGCTAGTCAATCGGCGAAGAGAGTAACCTGTTGTTCTTTGTGGAATTCCGACAGTTCACGTGATCACAGACGACAACAGGCAGCTTCATAATCAGCCCCCTAAAAACCTGTCATATTATGGCCTAAGCTGAAGAAGAGTATAACCAAAGACATTTCGATTTTCTTTCGAAACTTAAAAATGAGAAAGCTTTATTTCGGTATATGTGATCTCGCAAAATCCTGCCGTATACAGTAAATACTGATTATGAAAGGCTATCATTGGAAAAAACGACAAATTCTTTAGTTTCAATTGGCAGATGTCTAGACATTAGGTTTTCTTCGACTATGGCTTTCAACTGGCAAAAGTCTAGCATAAACACCGACTCTTAAAACGTAACCCTGTCTGAAGCATCAAAATTGATTCGACATTTATCCTCATCAGCTCCTGGTCCCGATAGAATCACAGTTCCTATGGTTAAAATTTTTTTCAAACTATCGCCCGGTGACGTCCTCAATCTTATAAACTACTCTTTAAAGAACACCTGGATACCTATGACTTGAAAATAGCTAAGGTAATTCCATTACTAAAAAAGCAAAGATTAGGTTTTAGCATAGAAAATATGAGACCCATCTCGCTAACTTCTAACATGGACAAACTCATAGAGAGGATCCTAAATGGCCAAATAAATGTCTCGATGACAAATAAGTTAGTATTAAAGCCAAACCAAATTGGTTTCCGTAGTTAATGCTCAACTTGGTATGCCCATAAGGATTTAGAGAGTCGAATACAGCTTGCTCGTAAAAGGAAACAACGTTCCTGCACTTCTGTAGATGAAGATGTCGTAACACCTCGTTGACAGTATTCGGCAAACTTCCTGTAAATAATATCAACGTACCCGCCTGCCTTTCACGAGCAGTGCGGCGTGACTGTTTGTTGTCAGGTTCACGCAGTAGCTTAAGTGGGTCACTTTCCAATCTTCCACTCATTCGCACTAATTTTGCTTATAAATGCTTAAAATTATTGTGAAGCTGTTTTTTATGTGTACTACTCACAAGTGTTACAAATAAAATCGTAAAAAAAATGCTTATATGGCGTTTCGTTTGCCATCGCCTGCGGTGCGCTGTCGTCGTTTTGATGGTGGCAACGCCGCACAGCATGGACGTGAACCTTGCAACATGCCACGTGCCTGCCCTCCCCTCAACAGGCTGACGGGCAGGGCAAAATTACCATACTCCACTGAAAGGGGCATTCCTTTCCACAACGGGTCTGAACTGTGTGCAGGCACTGTGCCGGTCGAAGATGAGGCGGTGACCAGCAAGGGCAAGAATTCCACAGGATATGCTCGCTCCGGACAGGATGACCAAAGCACACAAGGAGCTGTGTTAAAATAAGAATACAGTTCAGCATCGTCTGCACAGTGCAGCTGCTTCGACCACTAACATATTTTGCTACCATGAATAGCAAAATATGTTGTCTTTTAAGAAACATGGTCTCCTAACGCACAAAATGTGTAATGTAACATGTGCCAATACAATTATCAGGTAAAATGATTTCAATCTAAAATTTCTGACAGAAACATCGGCATGTAACACACAGATCTAAAATTTCTGACAGAAACATCGGCATGTAACACACACATCGTCACTCTAATCACAAACCACAAAAAGAACCATTGTCTTTCTCTTTCTAAAAAATTGTGTCTTCCAACCCTTTGATCAGACATTAGAAGAGTAAACTAGAACTCGCAAAGACATGTACACGAGTATAGGCTGACCACATGTAAATATATGCTTATACTAAATATCGGCTATAATAAATTTTTTTGTGAAATGCATCTGATTTAGTTACAAGTGGGTTCTGTTAAAAAATATATAGAAACCATGCCGAAGACCCAAGTATTCACTTACAGAGAAATGAACGAACTTCTGAAATGATGCATGTACAGCTTGATTGGGTATAACCTCACACTCTTCACTATTTAGATATATGTAGAAACATTATTTTACTTGATTTGTGTTTACTGTGGCACAGCAATGCTTTCAAGGTTCAAATGTACGGTGTTCTTCATGGCAGTGAAATATATTCCTTGAGGGACTCTTGTAGACATGTATTGACAGCAGCAGAAGGTCTCCAATCGGACAATGAATTACAGCAGTAGGCAATGTCATTGATGTGGTAAGTATGGTATGCTGCTGGTAAGTGTTTGACTTCTGTACCTGAGCGGCAATGCATCGTACACTAGCCTGCATTCCCAATGGGGCTCCTGTTTGAGACAAAAACTGCATTTAGCTTTATGTACAGAAGCAAAGGAAAGATTCTGATAAATAGTGTGATTGTATTTCAGAGCTGTGGAACTATTGTTCTTTGCAAGGTTCTCGTTTCTCACAGAGTCAAGAACACAAAACAATATGTTTCCACTGAAATTTACACACAGTTTCATGGAGTGTTCACCTGTCCACGCCTGCCCTGCAATCTGAAAGTCGCTTGCACCTTCAACTGCATCAAAAAAAAATGTCAGTGTCGTCCTCAAAAGCAAGTCATTGTAATAACATGCCGAAATGCTCGATATTTGGCCCTGTGAGAAGTGAACATGATGTCAGTGCCACAGCGTGGCACTACATGGTAAGTGGACAGAAGTGGAGCAAGGTATTGATCCCACAGCTTTGCTAGCTCTTCGCATTATTTTTGCAAAGCATTTCCTTCAGAGTGCCATTAAAGCGTTCAACCATTTTATTGCACATAGGCTGATATGGAGTGCAGCTGACGTGTTTGATTGCTAACATGTTATTTACCTCCTCCATCAAACAAGACTTGGAACAAGACGCACTGTCACACAGGACCTTGTGCAGTTATTGAAATTCAAGTTCTTGCAATATTTAAAATAATTTCCACAAGCCCTTCAGCCACCTTAGTCAATCACTGCTAGTTGCCATATATCTTATATTAGTAATGGTATATATTATATATAGGAAGTTATATCATATATTTATTATATGTATTCTGATGCTTAAAAGCATTTACAGTAGCATTTCAGACATGATAGTCGAATCAATCTCTGCTGGTGGTATATATTCTATACTAATAGTGGCATGTGTTAGACATGTTGCGACAGCTATGTTTAGCCATAGTTAAAAAATATGCCAACACACTCTCTGATGATTCGACGAAATGCACGTTGCGTACTATCGTCTGATGTGTAAGTCACACCATTTTATGTTTTCTGCTTAATTGCTTAATTAGGCATGATTATTTAACTTTTGAAGCAATGAAGCTAGCCAAAATTTATAAGGGTGATGATTGTAATTGGTTGACAAAACATCCAATTAGAAAGTTTGTAACTTTATATTTGCTAATCATTAGTGTTTTCCCGCTCATTGTAGATGCCCAGGAAATACAAAAATACTTGGCTGGAGACTTAATGGATTCACCACGTTTCCCCCATCTTCTTTCCCCTTAGTCTCGGAAAGCAAGCAGGTAATGTTGCCGCTGGGCCTCCATGAAGTAGTCGGCCACTTCTGCTATTTCTTAAACCACATTGCAGTTCCTTTAGTGAACGAACAGTGAAAGGCAGCAATAAATATTCTCTGGAAGCCGTTATGCGACCATCAAATCCCTTACTGCGTCATGAGTTTTGCCCTGCTCAGTCATCTCTGCCCACCGATCAAAGAAACTAAACATCCTGCAGGAGCCATGTCTTTTTTGGCCTCTGATAGTCTCACAAGTCCTCTGGTGACAAACCGCCAAACACCTTTAGTACCTCACTGTGCAGGTGCACACCCAGGCTAATGGCCCACATTTCTCTTTAGGCCATTCCTGACCAAAAGCAACAAGCACAAATTGCTTTAGATAAGCGTCCAAATCATCCAGATTCTCCTTGAATATGGGAATTAGACTGTGAGAGCTTATGAACAAAGGACTTGTTCCATCTAAATCGTGGACTGGAATTAACCTGGTCGAATCTTCAGCATTAGCTTTCTTAAGGAGCAATCAGATCGAATTTACACATGCCAACTTTTGAATCCCTATGTATTAATCATCCCCCGACAGCTATTCACAACTCGGAATGTAATGGAGGGATGAATCTGTTATATTTATTAATATGACCACTATCCTTGCCGTTTAAGCGACCCCCTCCCCCCTTAAATGAGGGGCTGGTTCCGCCCTTGGGGAGGAAGGATAAAAAGAATAATGGAAACACATAAGTGAAGAAATAGGACAGGCAAGCGACAGAAAAAGAAGGAGATACATCAAAAGTTGGGAATCGATCGATGAGGTCCGAGGACGGTGCAACACGCACGAGAGCTGCACGGCGTCTAGGAGTCGGGAGGTCGAACCAGAGTCGGCGAGAGCTGCGCCAGAGTCGGAGGTCGCATGCAGCACAACAATACAGCTTGAAATTCGCTTGGTCAAATAAAGTTTTTACTGCCACCACCTCTGCGCAACTCCACCTAAGAAAACGCCGAACAAACCCTTGACTGCTTCTTCTCTTTTCGTGGCTCATTATACCTAATGTCCCTAGATCTTCAGAAGGAAAAAATCTAGGGACTTTAACCATACCACCCCAATGCAAGGAGGGGATTGGCTGAGCGTTAGGTGAACTTTTATTTGTGTTTACGTGCAATACTTCTCGTATAAGCTAGAAATAGTTTATACAACAAACCTAATTATACAATATTAGTACTGCAATGTTTAGAAGATCGAAGATTGCCTGGATACGTCCCCCCACCCCACACCATTTGTGGCACTCAGCAAAAAATTAAGACAATCAACCATTTAACCAGATGCTAAATACACCGTAAAGTTAGTTTATAGTTAAACTTGACATATATAAAATTACGGCTATTTTAATAAAAATAATATAATGAGTTTTGGTTGTTTGTCCCCTCCCCACCTAGGCGCGTTTCAATCGTTGGTGGGCGTTGATGTTTGTGGCAATAGGTTTCTGACATTTTTTGTTTCAAGTTTCTTGACCCATGTACTTTGACCATGGTGCGACAGCACAACCAAGAAACTGCAATGGCGTCGAAGCCTGCTCGGGTAAGCTCAGAATGCAAAAATGCTGTCTTCAATGTTCGTAGAACGAAGCTATCTGCGCCTGAAAATTAAGATATACCATTAAACACACACATGATCAGCTCTGTAGGTGTTCCGGTCATTTATATTTGAGTAATCACGCAATAAAACCATGGCGAAAAGAGTATTATACCCTCACACCAAAGGCGTTTCTGAAAATAACCTCGACTCAAGACAAGGCGTCTCGATTTAATGGCCGGCGGTCTGACGTCTGCTCGTATTCGGCGGCTTCAACTTACCATTGCTGTAAAACAGTTTTAACTTCAGGTGTAATTTGGTAGTTATTGCTGTAGAACTATATTTTATGCGCCGTTGTTTTACGAGTAGCGTAAGAAAACGTGACTAGGCCTACGTTATTGCCCTGTCCCCATAGCTGGATCACTTGATGTATGACTGCGTGACATTCCAGTATGCATTGATTCACAACGCGTTGTTAACGGTATACATCGCTATTTACTGTTGTGTTCCTGTGTGCTCAATGTTCGGGTGTTTTTTATACCTTCCATTTCTTTGGCGTGAGTCAGCAGTGCTTAGGCTTCTCCAAACATACGCTGTGAACGTCTGATTTGCTTTTGCTCGGTGTATTGTTGCCCCATTCAGAGCATAGTAGTGCTTCTTTCGTAGCCTAATGCTCTCGTAATGTTGTGAGCTCTTAAATATCTGCGAAGCGGTTGCCGCGAGTGGGCTTCTGAGCGCGTTATGTGACCCTAAATCATCTCCTCGTGTATTACACGCGTTTTCTGAAGTGTCAATCGCTTTGCCAAGTTGCGGGCGTGTTAGATTTTGGAAATTCACTTCCTGCTCAATTACTTACGAGGTAGCATGCACTATGTACTAGGTTATAGTTAGTATTCGAATTGTGCAATCAACGCTGGCACTACTCGGTGTCACTGAGGATCTTCGATTTTCACGCCTCTCTGGCAGCTCGCCACCGAGTAGCTAGTTCCGGTCGGGACAGGAAACAGCGTCGTTTTCTGACAACGCACGAGACCAACCCGAAGATTACAAAATCAAACGCCGGGACAGCCAGCATAAACGTAAACAAACGCTACTGTCGGTGCAGCGAACGAAACAATGCGCCGCGTGCGCGTTATATTTCCCCCTTTCTGCATTGTCCACTTTAAACTACGTGGCTAAGTTTGCTGAAGAGCTGAACTCTTCTCGAGCGTACGCATTTGGGGTACGACTTCGTACGCTCATTTCGCCGCGAACAGAACCGCCAGCCGGCGCACGGCGCTTCGAGGACAATGTAAGGGTAGCTGCCTCTCCGCTAGCTGCGCATCAGCCTCACGTCTGCTTAGTACATGTAACATTCACTGCTCAACAAGCAATACATCGCGGCACTCAAAACCGAACGGCTTCCGGTTTTGGGTGCCGGCATCGCGAAATGTTAAAGCCGGGCATCAAGAGCCTTTGCATGTAGCCCACCCATTTTCAACAGTTTTTCTTCCACTGTCTGGCCAGATATTTCAAGTATACCTTTTTTAAAATCTACACGCAACATCGTAAGAGTTAATCATTTACTTTAAGCACCTTCCTTTTATCTATAAACGGAAAAACAGTCCTCACTTTTGAACAACTTGAAAAACCAAGCTCTCTGCCTTCTTGTTAAGAGAGACATGCGGTGGTTTTAGTACCACGAGTGCACGTCACATTTAAAATCACGAAGGAAGGAATGAGTTGGTTCCTTCCTCCATGTTTAAAATAAACTTCTGCATGACACATTTTCGACTAGTTTTGGTTTTGGCAGTTGCCTGGACCTCTTTTGCAGTCGTAAGTGGCACTTCCGAAATCTCGTGTAGCTCAGCTTTGAGCTACTACAGGTTGTGATCTTAAATACTGCACTACATTATTGCTAAGATGTGAAAAAAAAAAATAATAAAGCCAACAATGAAATAGGCAACGAAAAGATGTAGACAAGTGTAACGACACAAAACAGTAATTTTTTACAGTTCTGGTCTTTGATAACAAGACTCTATCCACAAGCTTGTATTTTTAATTTCCACATTTCTCCCACTGTTCATCTTTGCACACTTCTGTGCCTGTAATAGCTTTGTATTGGTTTGGTAGAAATCTTCACTGGGCACTTGTTGTTTCCATAGGCGTTTCTGTGAGCAATATGAGTAGAAGCAAACTCTGATGTTTGTCACAAAGCATTTTATGAGGACCGGGTTAGCAAAAATAATAAAAAAAAATCAGTTTTCTTTTTGTGTTATTTGAAACCCGTCTTGTTTTTTTGAACCAGATTCAGTTTGTTTGCCTCAGTGAGGTTTTTTTTTCTAAAACTGACATATTTCAAAACTTGTGCGGTGGCCCACCATGCCCCCATTATTACGTAGCAGGTGATTCTTTGCTGTTCAAGTATCATAACCATATAGAGAAGTTACAGTTGGCAAGCTGGAGTGCATTTGGCACATTCAGAAAATAATGGGCCCGTAACTGCCGATATGAAAGAAAGCAGATTATTCAAGCTTTTTGTCGGGCAATCTATACCTGGCCGGGGATGTCTTAGTGGTGCCATCATTGGCAAGCACCAAAAATATCGTTTTGGCATTAAAGAAAAGAACTTACTTGGAGGACATGCAAAAAGCTCTCTGGGCCACATATTTTCACATGGTATCAAAGGATACCACTACATCCCATGGCGTTTACTCGAAGGATATCGAAACTTGGCATAAATTCAACAAAGCCCAGTTGAATGGTGAACCATTCGTTCATAAAGAACACCCTCCAGCATCTGTTATTGAGGCTGTTAAGCCGAACTGTCCAGAACTAGCTCATCTAGAATTACTTGCTAAATGTCTCCATAAGAAAACTCAATTATTCGTTGTATTGTCGTGTGGGAGCGCACTCCAAATATGGTTTCCTCTGACATCAAACACTGAAAAGTTGCACTCTTGATGCTGTGGTCACCTTTAATGATGGCATTATAGCCCATGTGAATGTGCTGAACATCTCTGGAATTCTGCCAGGGCACTGTGCAGTGCCCCTTGACGTGCGTCAACAGTACTTTCCTGACAGTGCTGCACAGCAGGTGGCAAAGGAGGCTCGCAAGGAAAGACGTTTCAACACAAAAAGAAAAAAAAAATGATATTGGTAATAAGCATCTGGCTGGTGCCTATTGAATGGGTCCATCAATTTGCTGTTATATTGGTCTACTTTTAACATAATGTACAATTTTAACTTGGAAGGCTGTTATTTCAAAACGTGCCTTTTTACGGGTGAACCTCCTTTTGGTCTAGGCTTGTTCTGTGTAAGGTGTAACTGAGATAAGATATGAGAAAAAAAAAACAGTATCTGCAGAACAGTATAATAGGCACCGCTGTCGCGTAGAAGTACATGCAACATTCACTGCTCAACAAGACTTCATATATTGCGGCACCCAAAACCGTACGGCTTCCTGGTTTGGGTGCCGGCATTGCGAAATGTTGAAGCGGGGCATCAATAGCCTTTGTATGTAGCCCACCCATTTTCAACAGTTTTTCTTCCACTGTCTGGCCAAATATTTTAAGTACACTTTTTTTAAAAGCTACACGCAACATCGTAAGAGTTAATTTACTTTAAGCACCTCCCTTTTATCTAAAAATGGAAAAGCAGTCTTTCCTTACTTTTGAACTACTTAAAAAAACAAGCTGTCTTCCTTGGTGTCAAGAGAGACATGCGGCGGTTTTAGTACCACGAGTGCACGTCACATTTAAAATCACAAAGGAAGGAATGAGTTGGTTCCTTCCTTCATGTTGAGAATAAACTTCTGCATGACGCATTTTCGACTAGTTTTGGTTTTGGCAGTTGCCTGGACCTCTTTTTCAGTGGTAAGTGGCACTTCCGAAATCTCATGTAGCTCAGCTTTGAGCTACTACGGGTAGGGTGTACAGGAAGTGTTGAGTGGCGTGACCGCGCCTCGCCGCGTAATGCCTTCCTTTTTACGGGTGAAGCTCCTTTTGGTCTAGCCTTGTTCTGCGTAAGGCGTAACTGAGACAAGATATGAGAAAAAAAAAAGTATCTGCCGAACAGTATAATAGACGCCACTGTCTCCTAGAAGTACTTGAGATTCACGGCTCAACAAGACTTAATATATTGTCACAAAGGCACAGGGACGCAGGCACAAAAGCAGGGCGTTTACTTTCGTGACCAAAAGCCAAAAGCACGAACACCAGAGCACGCATCCACAGAACTACTTCGTTATCCTCCTCAGAGGTTGGCCACTATAGTTGCCAGCCTACCTTGCATCATCCCCCCTTTCAAGAGCGGCCGTCCCGGTCGATTGACTAATATGCTAGAGATGGTCATAAAAAAGGATGGCCACGTCAACGAAAAAAAACAACACATAAGCCTGTGCTGTTTTGGATAATAAAAAAAGTTCGAACAGTTCATAACTCGCGGGCGTGGTACGGTTTCATCCGTACTACATGGACTACTTCTGGGCGTGGACGTCTTTGGTTTGAACTGGTATCCGAGCTTTGAGAAACTATCTCGTAATTCACATCACTGAGGCAGCTCACAACTTTGTAAGGGCCAAAGTAGCGTCGCAATAGCTTCTCCAAAAGCCCACGATGTCGGAACTAGTGTCCACACCCATACGTAGTCACCTGGTTGATAGTGGACGTTCCTTTGGCCTTGGTTGTAACGGCGAGCGTCGACATCTTGCTGCGTGCGAATGCGGTTCTGTTCAAGCTGGCGGGCTTCCTCGGCTTTCTCAACGAAGTCGTCAATGCTGTCATTTCCACTGGTGTCCTGGTCTACGGGGAATAGCATCTAACGGTGTTGTGACGCGCCATAAACAAGCTCGAATGTTGTTAGGTCTGTGGTCTCTTGCACAGCGGTGTCATAAGCAAACGTGACGTACGGCAAAATTTTATCTCACGTTATGTACTCTACATTAACATACATAGATAATTGATTGATTGATATGTGGGGTTTAACGTCCCAAAACCACCGTATGATTATGAGAGACGCCGTAGTGG